TGTCTTCCCCATTTAAGGGAAATTCTAATAGCTGAGCCTTCCCTATCATGCTACGGGAGTGTGTAAGATAGGTGTCAGATGACATCGTGATCATATTCTTCAATCCTACCAACTACGAGAGCGCATATGAGCCTTTGAGACACCTATTTGAGAAAAATGTGCAGTTTTCCCCCATTGACACTAAGGCATGCACTGGTACATAATTTCATCCTCTTCACGCTACGAGAGCACTTAGAGGCCTACTTGCGAGGCCGCAAGCGTCTCACCGGGTTCCCTCCCACCATGCTACGAGAGCGTGTAGGATGGTCCCCCGGCTTGTCGCAAGCGCCGAATGCGGGGTTTTGGAGCATTATACCTGAGCAGGGGTCAACGACAACAAGGTTGGCAAGATGCACAAATATTTCATCTCTCTCTCTCCCCCACCCCCTTTTTTCTTCTTTTTTGTCATTTTTCTCTTTTTTATTAATGATAATATGATTAATAATAATATTGATAATGATAATAAATTAATAATATTAATAATATTAATAACAAATATTATTATAACTAATAAGAGATATAATAACAACTAATTAAATAGTAGAAAATAAAAATTATATATATATGGGGGTGGGGCTAATTATTAGGTGCGGACACCGCACCTAAAGATGTGTTTGGATACTGCGTATTCTATGTTTAAGTTCTGCCTACGTTATGCATATTTACTAAATATATACTGCATATTACAGTAAATAAGGAGCAAATATTTAATTATGATGATTTAATATTTATTTGCTGTATCTACAAATACGTAACGTGTAAAACATACACAATGAGCAGAAGGTACACAATCCATTTAATAATGCGGACGCATCTCTGACATAGGATGAGGTTAAATCGGGCTTGCTGGGTTGTGGGAAACTTGCTGCTAGTTGAGAGGTGGCAGGAGCTCTGCCGAGTGTGGGAGTTCAATCGAGATCTATCGCAGGATATGCGGCTGTTTCAGGTAGAGCAAAGGTCGGATCGAGTGGGTCTCGGTAGCAGGTGACGGGTGTGGAGGGCTCGGTTGAGGCCCAACGGATCTAGGGATTCGAATGGAGATCGGCTGTTCCGGCAAAATGCGGACGTCGGGCACGGGCTGTCGATTCAGTGGAAATTGTGTCGACTGCAGGCGGCCGCGACGAATGCTGGTCGTGGATTCCGGCCAGGTAAAGGCGGATGATCGATTGCTGGAGTTGTTTCGAGAGGGTATTCGACGGGGCTTGCGGTTCGACATAGCAGGAGGAGGATCGGAGGCTAATGGCGTCGGAATCGAGAGTCGGGGCTGTTTGAGGGAGGAAGCAGTGAAAACACAAGCATAGATAGAACAGCTTAAAGCTCGAAGGGCCAAAATATGTGCAGGCCTGCCACCTTAATCATATTGTATTATTTTTCTAGATTATTAAATTTGTATATAGGACAAGATGAAGAGATATTTGGCATCTTCTATGATTACTACATGTCAACAATTTGAATTTAAATTCAAATATATTAAATAATTATTAACTCCTAGATTTTACCTTCAGTTTTTTGGCTACGAAATAAGCTGTATGTAGCTGCATTGAAAGATCAATTGCGGCAGATTTTTATCTTCAAAGTTAGGAAAGAATTTATACTGTGAAGTAACAAAAAGGATGGAGCCAGTATTTACTGTGATTATTGAACATTTTTTATCCATGTAAAATTCTTCCCATAAGTTTTTAGTTTACTATCTACTTTTTTGTCATCGTTGGATTCTGTGAGTTTGGTATTCTTGATCTTGCTATAGTGTACTGGAGCCACATCTTCTAGAGTATTCCTCATTTAATGTTAAAGATATGATTCGGTTGGAGAATTGTTTGCATTCTTAATCTGCTCTGCTCTGCCCAACTGCCACGTGAGTAGATTCCACGACAGATTTTTCTAACGTGAATGGCGACTTCTAAGTGTCATCCAAAAGGAAGACATTATGCGTGGAAAGTTTGCAAGCCAAGGATTGGTATTAGTTTGCTTCACAATTAAGAATCTAGGTATGCATTTTGGATGCTTCTTGTTACTGTGTTAGAATTCTTCATTATGTATTACCCTTTTTATATCAGTTATCAGACGTCCTTAATCTGAAACTCACATTTTTTTTCTTTCCCTTCTATTGAGTATGGAGCCAATATTTTTTTAATTATCTTGAATAAGATTTGATCTTACTTTTTAATTATTAAAAATAGAAGCTCGCCTCAATAATATGAAAGCCCTAAATAGTGGATATTATAAAGTTCTACATAGAGGGTATCATAAAGTTCTAAATAGATTTTACTATAAAATCTTTAAAGAAGGTTATAGAATTTTTTAATGATGGTTGAATTTTTTAATCATTGATACGTCATCAAAATCGTTTTGATCGGGCACAAATTTTGATGCAAATATGAATTGGGAACTTCCAAATTAAATTTGGGGCCATCCAAACTCTGATTTCAACAAGTTCATAGTCAAATTGAACATCTCGGGGAGACAAACACAAGGACACCAAATTTAGTTCAATCCAAGCCCAAGTGAGCTCAAATCAAAGGATCAAAGCCTACTTGAAAGCTTCAAAGCATTATTAGATAACTAAATGATATTCATATATGACATGCTTATAGTCGAATCAAGCGTCTTGATGAGACGAATCCAATGAGCCCAAGATCACTCAATTTTGACATCACTAAGACACTTAAATGCTCAACAAACGCTCCATGATCAAGAGAATCAATGTGTCATTTGATAGAACACTCCAAAATTGCCATAATCTTCCCCATATTTACTGAGCATGTCACTCCCAAAAAACTATAAATAAACCATCATTCTTCACCGGGGGGTGGAAGAAGAGAAGAGCTTTGGAACTTGAAAAATCCTGGAGCTCCACCCCGACAGTACTACCACTGATGAATCGGAGCCACCAGGCCGCTGGTGTTGAACTTCTGGCCAGCCATTGCCGTCAGACCTCCATATAGAAGCCATTGACGAGCCACTTTCTGACCATTGTCGCCCTTCAATTATGATTCATCCGACCATCGTCGTCCGATTACGATCCTTCTGACTATCGTCGATTGTCGACTAAAGTCCTTCTAATCATCATTGCTTGACTATGATCCTTTTGAGCACTGTCGCCCGATTATGGTTCTTCTTGCCTCTGTCACTTGCTTTCTACTGTCCCTCGGATCTTTGTCACCCAAATACAATCCTACCCATTCAATGAACAAGCCAACGCTCTTTTAAGGATAGCTCTCATTGGATTCTTCCACCCATGTAAAGTGCTCTAAATGATGTATATTTGTTATATTGAGCCGATATCTTCCCCGAGAAAGGACATCATTTGTGATCAATTATAAATACTAATAGAGTAATAGGTTCATTCAAACTAGGCCAACTCCAGTAATTTTCCCCTTTTAAAGATTTTTCATGTAAAAATTTTGGTGACTCTTATGAATGTTGCACCCCTCTCTTTTATTTATTTGTGTTGGATCTTCGTACCAAGCTAGGATGTTAAAATTTATCTTTCTCTACTACTGTGAATATTCCAAGACGCAACAATGTTAAAAGGTGAATTATTCATTATGTAAATTCATATAATCTTCACTTGTGAACCATCCTGCAGTCACAAGAAAATAAAGAGAATGCGAGAAGACTGGAAGAAGCTCTCATAGTAGAAAAGGGAATAAAAATGAGAAATAATATCAATGTTTGTTTCTCCATTTCTAACCCTTACTTCACAACAGGTTGTTGCGTTTCCTCTTATTCATTAATACAGGTGTAGGTTCATCATTGTCATTTTTCATTTGAAGTATAATTTCTCTATGAGTCTATGACATTTTTAAAAAAACTTAGTAAAATGTTTAATCTGTGTGTGAAGATAGATATAGGTGAATTTCACTAAATCATGTAAATTTATGTCTTATGTGTGAATTGCCTTAATTGACCTACATGTCCCCCAAAAAATGACAGTCTGATACTTAAACTAGGCCAATGGAAGGCATGAATCACTCTATTCATATTCATTAGTAACCTTACCCAGAAATTTTAATTTATTTGATTAGTCTTACTAATATTTTAAACATTATCTTTTAGTGGATGTTTGCGTTACTTGCACGGTAAGTATTAATGGTTCCCCCTTGTTGGATAGTGAAATGTTCTATTAGCGTTTGTTTTTAAAATATAATTGCATGGAACTAATCTCGTCATGGTAGTATGGTTTTTTTGAATTGGAACTTAGACTTCCTTTGGAAGCGTCAGAAATGTCCTATCAGCATTATTGTTTTTATTATGTGGAACTGATTTCTTTCTTGATGTTTAGGTTTTGCTTGATAATTACTTGTTATTGTGTGCTGTAATATTTAATCGACACTTAGGCAAAGATAAGCTCTTCTGCAACTTGTAGTCACATAAAACGGCGGCCTTCCAATGACCCGGTTAGGAAAGTAGATATATTAGATTTGACTTTTGTTAAGAATGATAAAGGTAGACCTATAAAAAATTTATTATAAAATATTAGAAATGACTTTTCTTTATTAGATTTTAAATGAGAATTTGACTCTTAACATGACACAATGAAGAAAAAGGATTCAAAGTAGCCGACCTCACACAATGGGATAAAGGCTTAATGCTATTGTTGTTGTATAGTTTTATTATTATTAAAAATAAAAATAATATTCTATTCTCCTATTTTATTAATATAACATTGTTCTATTATATTTTAAAGAAATAAAATAAAAATAAGTGATTTTCTAGTCCTTAAAATTGAAATTCACTTCTTTTTAAATGCAGGTTTAAGAGTAAGAATTCAATTTCATATACTTCTAACTAAAAACAAACGTTTAACAATAAGATAAATCATTTCGAATCACTTCAGAGTGGAAGAAATTAGTACTAAATGGTAAAGCTTTAGGAAGAGTTAAGTTATGGAAGTTATTTGGAGCTTTCTACGTGTACTCAATTTTACACATAAACCTTTTTGTGTTTAACAGGTGATGACTCATATCCAGCAACTCTGGTCAATGGTTGCTCATTTTATATAAGCAGCTCCTACTTACATTGCTGGAGCACGGAGCAAGTTCTTCTCTAAGAAATAATCTAGAGAATAGTAGTCGAGTAGGCTGAGAGATTCATCCCAAAATGAAAAACCAGAACGTTGATCAGGCCATTGGAGTTCCAGTCAGTTCCGTCATATATGCAGCTGGGGAGTTGAAAAGAGAAGCTGCATCACCTGTGCCTCAGCGGCTCTATCTTATGCCTGCTTCTTATGGGTCTTCTCAATTTCAAAAGAGTAAGGACTAACGGCTAACTGATCCCCCGCTGTATTTTATGATCATTTATATTTTTCTTGATATTAGATATTTTTGATTCGCAGGTAGAAAGCTTCCACTTTTTCATTGGATGAACAGGTTTAAGAGCAAGGCAAATAGTTATGCTAAAGGAATATGTGACCATGGTAATTCCTCATCCTTCCATCAGTTTCTACGCTTCAGAAGTCTACACATTCCTGAGTTTCTGTTCATTTATTTATTTTTATAAAAAGAACTCATTTGTACTATTTCATTGAATTCACAGTGAGTCTAGGATCCACAGTCTCCCAAACTGTGAAAGGGAAATTGAGCTTGGGGGTGAGGATTCTTCAAGCTGGAGGAGTCGGAAGAATTTTCAGACAAAATTTCTCTGTTAAAGAGGGAGAGAAGTTGCTGAATGCCTTCCAGTGCTATTTGTCGACCACAGCTGGTCCTATTTCTGGTCTTCTCTTCATTTCATCTGAAAAGATTGCATTCCGCAGCAACAGATACATCAAACTCAACTCTCCTGGAGAAACAGCCAGAATCCCTTACAAGGTTTGTTAAAAAGCGAGAAATTTAAGCACTTTATGACCATTAATGAATGGAATGATTTTATTTTGATTGAACTATTGGCAATGTGCAGGTCTTGATACCTCTGAGCCGGACAAAGAAGGTTTGCCAAAGTGAAAATATGAACAAACCAAGCCAGAAATACATAGAAATCATCACAGAAGATGGCTTTGAGTTCTGGTTCATGGGTTTTCTTTCTTATGAGAGATCTTTCAACTTCATACAGAAGCAATTTCAGAGCAACCGGTGACACAACTCTCATAGTAGAAAGCAAATGAAAGAGTAACTCCCTGCTTTGTGCCAAGCATTGAAAAGTTTCCAAGTTTTATGGAAGATTGTTCAATGCAACCTATTATTTTGGGCCTTCCACCTTTGTGATTTTGTGTAAAATACAAAGTGTACTTGTATCATGAGAGTTGTTAATTGGAATATAAATGATGTTCAAGAATTAGTAATATCATGTATTTATGTGTTATGATCAAACTGTTGAGAATTCTGATAAAAGTGAAAGATAAGAGCTAGAATTTAGTTATAAATTTTAATATTTGAAGGTGAAACTAATGAGCATAGATAAGCAAGTGTTTTTATAATTGATCAAAATTTGAGCATTACATATGAAATAACTTGATAAATTTTATGCAAGAAAATGTATGGTTTATAGTGTTGATACTTTAATTTTTGTGCAATTTAAAACTCTAGCAAAATAGAATTTCAAAACACAATTCATATTCTATTTATCGACTCTCAAGAGATAAGTTCATTTTGTGAATACTATAATTTCCATATGATTTAGAGGTGAAATTGTTTAGTGTGGATACCGACGTCATCCGGAGGCGAATTAAAATGCATCACGTCACTCGTTTGTTGTGTGTTGTGGTTGTACAAGATGATGTGGCGCATTCCGATTCGCCTCCAGACAGTCCAGTTTTCGCACAAAATAATTTCTCGATTTAAAGAGAACCTCCCTTGCAAAATAAAACTTTAAACACAATTCATATTCCAATTATCAACTCTCATGATATAGGTTTATTTTGAGAAATCTTCTCAATAAAATCTTGTATGTGGCTTCTTCCACGCTTGTGATTTGTGTAAGATACATGCCAAATGCACTTATATCATGAGAGTTGGTAATTATTATATTAATAACTACCTAAACTCATTGCAGAGTATTGTCCATCGTTAAGGAGAACATAAGCTTCAAGCAGTGATTAATTACTTTCTTGTGCTTTGGAGATCATAGATTTGATAGAAAGTATAGAGATTGTTTCCACACTCGAATTTAGGCTTCATTTGGGACATCTTTCTTATTACTTAAAATTAATTTTTTGCACTTAAAAACTGATAGGAAACACTTGGATGTTTTAAAGTAATTCCTATCAATTTCAAAAAAAAAACATCGAGAAAAGCTCTTCCGAACTCAACGAAAGTCGGAAAAATAGTAGTTTTATTGCAATAATGAAAGATACAGACAAAAAATACTAAGATACAATTGAATCTCTATTCGAGAGGAGGATCTTTCTCTCCCAAATCTCTAGATGCCGCTAGAGCCCAAAGAACCTAATAGATCTCAAATTTCAACCAAATTCAAGTTGTCCTAACCCTAAGAAAATAAACTATTTAATGCATACAATCCAAAAAGAAATCTATAAATAGTCCCTACATTCAAATTTCCCTCCTAACTCCCTCAAAAATCCTTCCTAATTATTGGCTGAAGCTGTTTGGATGGCGCCTATAGGGAAGCGGAACTCTTCCTCTTCTATCCGCCTGAGCCAGTCCCGTGTGGACCGGCTGGTCCAATGGACTGGCCTAACAATAATTATTTTAAAAAGCAGTAAAAAACTGTCCCAAACAAAGCCTTAGTTTTCACATCATAGTGGAGATTGAAAACCTTACCATTGTTTTAGAGCCTACCTTTAGATGATCTAAACAAAGGGCATACGGATTATATGATGTTTCTGCAAATACAGAATCTTCTTATATTTCTAAAGCGCTTATTTTTGTAACTCGGAATTATGACATCAGAACTTAACCATTACATCAAACTCATAAAATTCTATAGAAGCAATAACAAGATAAATTTTGAGCTGAAGAGCTGAGTTGGAGATATTGCATGATACTAATTAATTAAAAGGGAATTTGTAAAAGCATATGTTCTAGAAAAATCAGTAGTTCTGCAGAAAGAAAGGTTGTTTTCATTAAAGAAAAAAAAAACAGTTGACATATACCGGTGCATGATCCACTATTCTTAAGAAGGCCTGTGCAATCTTTGTCTGCTTTTAGATTTTGGATTAGCAGCCCACATCCAAAACAGTCAGCATAATAAATTTGCCGACGCAGTGCTGTCTCAGCATACCTGCTTTTCTAGTAGATCTGTAAAGGCCATGACAGAGAAAGCAGATAAGAAGTAAATAGTATATAAGAATACTCTGAAAAGGAGAAAATTTTGTTGATAATAGGGGACCACGTTTGGCAAAAAAAATGTTAGGTGGCTGTTAATGGAGGGGTGAGAAGGGAGCATGGAGGTGTGTGCGTGCATGCGTGTGTGTGGAGAAATTATTATGTGCGGACACCGGACGGGAGAACCGTCCGGTTACGCTAGGTACCGAGCACAATACCGGGCGCGGTACCGAGCGCAGTACTTTTTTGAGGTGCCGTGGCGCATTTTTATTGGTCTTCCGATACATCCGGACTCTGCCCAGAATAATAAATCGTGTGTTTGTGTGTGTGTGTGTGAGAGAGAGAGAGAGAGAGAGAGAGAGAGAGAGAGAGAATGTGTTCATGTTATACATAGCAATATGTTGAATGTAGCAAACATTAAAGATCTAGCAATCTTGATTGCACCAACGATGTTGAAAGATGTATTTGTAGCTGAAAGATGTATTAATGATTGAAATATAGTTGATTAAGATTTCACTGGATCAAAAATAGATGAATCATCATGACTTCTTTTAGCTGGGTTGGTGTAAGAATATATATGGGTAGCCGTTGCTATCAACTTCATGACTAATGATTCCTTCCACATGGAGACTGAGAGCAACTAACATCCATGAGAAGCCTAAGTCTCTGTTCTTCTTTATGTTATTTTCTCTATGATTGAATGCAATTTTACACCAAGTAAAAAAAAAACTTGTTTACTTTAATTATAACAGAGATGCATGAGATTATGGGGAGTCCTTAGAAGATATTTTGATTTAATGAATGAGATTTTATGCTTTGGGTTAGAATTTAAATTTGAAAGTTAATTTTGAATGGGTTTTGACCAGTTTGACTAAGATGATCAAGTCAACTTAATCAAAGGAAGTCTCCCATGGTCTTGACTCATCAAAAGAACGAAGTGGTTTGGATTTCAGGTTCTGAACAGAGCAGATCGCAAGCTTATCTCTTGGGAAAGGAACAGGACAAAATCAAGCAAGAAGAATTGAAGGAATTGTTTGTGGTTGTGCTATTAATTGTGATTTTGATCGTTGTTAGAAGTAGATTGAGGATCTAATTGTTCCAATTCCGGCATCGTAAGGAGGTTGCGAGTTCTTGGAGGCTATAAGATCCCGTTGAGCCATGGATACATCCACCTCGACGGTGGAGAAGGTGGCGATCCATCAGATGCTTACACATCCTATTAAAATTGATGTGACAAAATTTGATGGCAAAGAAAATTTTGGTATGTGGCAATGTGAGGTGATGGATGCGTTGTGCTTTATGAATCTAAAGGATGTTCTGGTAGGCGATGAACATCCTGAAGAGATGTCTGAGAGAGATTGGCTCAAGATTAACTGGAGTGCTTGTGGCTTGATAAAAAATTGCTTATCTTAGGAGATCAAGTATGGGGTGATGATGTAAACTTCTAATACAAAGCTATGGAAGACTTTAGAGAACAAGTATCTAACGAAGAACGTGGAGAATCGTCTTCATATGAAGTGGAGGCTCTACAGGTTTCTGATGAGACATGGGGTGGTTACAAATGATAAGCACTTGAATGATTTTATAAAGCTATTTGCAGATCTTTTAAATTTGGATGAGGAGGTTATAGATGAATACAAGGTGCTCCTATTGAATTCGCAGTCGGATGAGTACGAAACTTCATAATGATGCTCATTCATGGGAATGAGGTCATGAACTATGGCGAGATGACTACTACATTACTGTGCCACGAGTTCCGGCATTGGGATAATCTTGTATGAATTCGCAGTCGGATGAGTCTGCAAATATGAATTCAGCTGAGCCTCTCACACTCCAATAAGGAAGATTTGAGAGGAAGAAAAAGAGTGGCAGTCAGCGGGGAAAATCTTGTAGGGGTAGTCTTGGGAATTCAATGTGCTTTCTATTTGCAAAATGGTTATTGGAAGAAAGATTGTCTGAAGCTTAAGGAAAAGGGAAAGAGAGTTTCCACTGAGGCTAACTTTAGCATGGAAGAGCATGACAAAGATTTAGATATATCACTATTTGTAGTCTCTCAAAGTTTTTATTCAGATAATTCATACTGGATTCTAGATATTGGTGCTACCTATCATATTTGTCCCACCAGGGAGTAGTTTTGTACCTACAGGGAGCTTGATTATGGTGTTATGACCATGAAAAATTATCAAGCTTGTCGTATAGTTTATGTAAGGAGCATCTTCATCAGAATCCATGATGGTACTATGAGAGAGATGATTAATGTGAGATATCTTCCAAATATTATAAAGAATTTGCTATTTGTTAGGGCTTTAGAGACCAAGGGCTACAAGGTTGTCATTGAGGCAAGAGTTCTAAAGATATATTATAGAGCACTGGTTTTTTCTGAAAGGAGTTCGTTCTCACAACTTTTACTATCTTCAAGGAAGAACAATGATTGGAATGATTGATGTTGCTGATGATTCTTCTTACGCCACTACATTATAGTATATGTAGCTAGTTCATGCAGGAGAGGCTTCTCTTATGGCTTTCATGAAGCAAGGATTAATCAAAGGAGCAAGCACCTACAAGCTCAATTTCTGTGAATATTGTGTGTTTGGAAAGAATAAATGTGTATCATTTGGTACTGACATCCACAATATAAAGGATATCTTAGAGTATATTCACACAGATGTTTGGGGCCCGACGATGACAACATCATTTGGTGGTTGGCAATAGTTTATCTTTTTTATTGATAATTACTCCAAATATGTTTGGGTGTATACTATGAGGCGCAAGAGCGATGTACTAAAGGTTTTTAGAACTTTGAAGAAGTGGATTGAGAGTCAGGCTGGCAAAAGGATCCGATGTATCATATCAGACATTGAGGGTGAATACACTTTTGATGCATTCTTACAGGAGTGCAAGTGATCTGGGATAAAGCTTCACTTCACTATTAAAGAGACACCGCAGCAACATAGAGGATGAATAGAAGTTTGGTGGAGAAAGTACGGCGTATGTTATCCAATGCTATGTTGGATAAAGTCTATTGGGCTGAAGCAATAGAGTATGTCTATCACTTGGTGAACCGTCTGCTTTCTGTAGCTATTGGGAAGAAGACACCAAAGAAGATGTAGTCAAGGCATCCTGCTAGAGATTATGAGCACTTAAGAGTTTTTTGGTGTCCAAGTACTATCATGTTTAGAATGATAAATTGGAACCAAGAGCAAAGAAGGCAATCTTTATTTGCTTCAGGCATGGAGTCAAGGGCTTCAAACTCTATGTTCTAGTAGATAAGAAGATTTTCATCAGCAGGAATGTTACTTTTGGCAAGGCAATCATTTTGAAGCCTCAAGACTTGAAGCGGAGGAGAGTTCTATTGAGACCACATATGTGTTGCAAAAGTTGAAGTTTGATGCAACTCTATTTACTCCACAAAGATAGATCACCTCTACTCAGGAAACTGATTCAGTTTTAGATCAGGCGGTAGAAGTTGATGTTGAGGTTGAGATTTTTGCTCAGGAGTCAATTGTAAGGAATAGGACTAGGCACCAGAATATCGCAAAGCCAACTTGACTTGGGGATCACATTGCATTTACACTTTCAGTTACGAAGGCTGAAGTTCCTAGTCCCTATAAGGGTAGTGTATAGTCTTGATGGTGATCTATAAAAGAGGACTTTGGATGAAGAGATGGAGTCACTTTAGAAGGATGCTACTTGAGGTTGGTGAAGCTTCCTCCAGGAAGAAAAGTCATTGGGTGCAAAGGGATGCATGCAAAGAAGGAAGGATCTCATGAAGTTGATGTGCAACATAAGGCTAGATTGATGTCAAAAGGCTCTAAGCAATGGGAAGGGTCTGTTTATAATGAGGGAGAACAATGGTTAAGAATCCCACGACCCATGATCACTTGGCACTTGGAGCACGGTTTGATATGATTTTGGAGCAGCTCGATCTAAACATTGCACTTTTTTAAACCTTTGAATTCAAATTTGTGCAAGTGACTTTTAGGCTTCATTTGAGACAACCTTTTTATTGTTTTTTAAAACAATTTTTTAGTAGAAAAAAATTTTGACTAGAAATTTTTGTACTAAAAAACTACTTAAGAAAGCAATAGTAAAACTGTCACAAATGAAGCCTTAATCTGATCCTGCCTCATTGAAAACATCAAAGCAGAACTACAAATCAGCAAATTCAATGAAAAACAACAAGTCATAGAAGCAATTAGATATTTTCTTCATCTTTTTAGTCCTTAATTATATTTTAACTTATGATAAGATCATGACTGTAAAGACTAAGGTGCTGATTAACCATGTAGTCAGCAAGATTTAGGCAGCATAAAAGCGACTTTGCTTGTGGTCTGCTACTGGTAAAGTAGATATTTAAGTACACGAGGCCTATACAATGAATTAGAGTAAAAGATGGACGTTGATTTGTTTGGTTTCCACTTTTTACTTATTTTATAGGAGAAAAAACAATCAGAATAACGTGAGAGTTGATCTGAGAGCCAAATTAATAAAATTTAATATAGTTCAGCGAGTATATATATATATATATATATTGAAATACAAATATAACTAAAAAATGGAATTTTAAATCAAATCAGTAAAAAAAAATGAAATTGATATCAAAAAGATTTATCTAACCAATTCTCAACAGAGAGTTGCATCATCTTTACAACTCAGTTAATATACCTCAATTTTTAAATGTATGAAACGGAAGAAGGTTAAACAACAAAAAATGGAATAAGCTATTAAATAAATCATTAAACCATTCTTAAAAATTATTTTATTAATTTTTTTAATCCATTTGTTACATGACAAACAAGCATCTAACCAAATGAGTAGATTAATGTTCAAATTTGTTTATTTTTATAGCCAATTAGGCTTCCATCATAGTCAAATAAGGTTCAATAGTCCATGCACATGGTTGAATAGGCTTGTGGTGCATGACACGACTTAGGCTTCATTTGGGACGGCTTTCTTACTACTTCTTAAAGTAACTTTTTAGTACAAGAATTAAACTAGAAAGCTGCTTAAAGAAGCAGTAAGAAAGCCGTCCCAAATGAAGCCTTAATATCATTCATGAAAATTACATGGTGAGCAAGGTTTAAGGTTTCTAGTAAAGCTTGTGGATGAGTTAGCTGATTTGTTATGCAGTAACTTAATATCCATACATGAAATACATTTTGAGGTATATGTTAAGCTTCTTGAGTGAAACAATGAAAATATTTAAGGTGCTTTGCATAAGTTAGTTTGCTAATTTTGGAAAGCATATCAAAATGCTGACTTGTTTCTGAGTGTAATTCTCACTGTTGCTAATGTTTGCACTAATTTTAAAGGACGAGAAAAAGAAGGAGAAGAAAGAAGAGCAAAGGTGTCCCACTTCCACATCAAAGAGAGGTAGGAATCAATTGATACACATCAGATGGGACCAAGTCAGCAACATCTCTCAAACAAAATGGCCCACCATAATTGACCATTTCAGCTTTATAAATAACTTAAGCTTATCTTGTAAGATAATGTATGTTGCTAAACTGATGTAGCCTCTCATTTTACCGTTGTTTTTTATTTATTATTGAATAATGTGAGTGACTGTTTGATAAATACTAGTTAAGATTGCTATTCAAAATACCATTAAACTCAAAGAATTTTTGATAAAAAAACTGTTACGGTTGATTGAACCTCCAAAATTTATACTATTTATGATCAAAGGATCTTTTAGAGGCACTGGGAAGTATTCTTTTTCTTATCTCTTTACATGAGCCTTTATTCGTGACAAGCTGATGAAGACTTTGAAGCAATGCTGATTCAGAAAACCACGTAGTCCTTTGTAAACTAATTCCATCTTTTTGGTTGCTCAACCGCCCAGATTCTTTGAACACTGACAACTGTTTTTTTCAGATTTCTTCATTCTATAAATTGCATCCCCCAATGGATTTTGGAGCAAAGAGCACGCCTTAGGAATCTCAAGAACTTGAAGCAGGAGAGGAAGTGAGGAGAATCTGTTATTCAGAATGAAGAATCAAAGCCAGGGTTCAGTCATAGGTTTTCCTATTAGATCTGTGACGGGAAAACCTTCCATTAATGAGCCAATTGTTGCATACAGTCCTATACAATACGGCACATCTCATCTCAAGCAAAGTAAGGATCAAATTTCTCAGTTTGATTTTGTAGCAAGTTAATGTATTTATAATTGATTATTCTTTTTTGGCTTAAAAATTTGCAGAGAGATTGGAGTCCATCATTGACCTGATGAACAAGTTCAGAAGAAAAGCTGATAATCTTGCGCAAGGCATCAGAGATCATGGTAATTAACCTATGAATTCTACACTTTCATAAAGCCAAACCGAAATAGATTTTTTTCATACTTTATACATTATCCCGTGCTTAAAGAGTACAAATATTTTGCAAAAATCTAACTTCATGGCATGTAAAAATTTTCAGTAAGCTTGGGACCAGGAGTCTCTGAAACTGTGAAAGGGAAGTTAAAGTTGGGCACGAGGATTCTTCAAGCAGGAGGAATTGAGCGGGTATTCAGAAAAAGTTTTGCAGTTGTTGAGGGTGAAAAGCTGGTTAAGGCATTCCAGTGCCATCTTTCAACAACGGCTGGTCCCATTCCAGGACTCCTCTTCATTTCAACAGAGAAGATTGCTTTCCTTAGTGACCGATCTCTGGTGTTCAGATCACCTAAAGGAAATGTTGCCAGGATTCCTTACAAGGTTACTTCTTTTCTTCATTTCAGCAGAGTATTCTTGAATTAAACGTTTCTGTATTTTTATTGACAATTCTGTTAATTTTTTTTTCAGGTACTGATTCCACTGAGAAGGATAAAAGGTGTAAATCCAAGTGAAAATTCTAACAAGCCAAATCATAAGTATATTCAGATTGAAACTACTGATGATTTTGAGTTTTGGTTCATGGGATTTGTTTGTTATCAAAGATCGTTTAAGATTTTGAAGCTAGCAACATCAGAATCACAAATGGGCATTTTGAAGTTAAAAGGATGAAGATTAAGATTAGGATTTATGTACATGAAAATAGAGAAGTGAGATAAAAAATAAAAAATAAAAAATAAAAAAAAATCTTGTTACTGGCGATGAGATTCCTCATTATTTAGAGCGGTCATCTTGTTGCCATCCTTCAAGTTTTGAGTTATCATCTCTATTTGTACAGCTTCGTCGTAGTAGTATTGAAAGGAATTTTCCTAGTGAAATGTTTGTTTTCCTTCGTTTAAATCTTCTTTTTTCCCTTAAATGAATCGTTTAATTGCATGCAATTATAAGCTTGAAGTTGCATGAAGAAAGGATGGGTATTTAAATTAAATTATCATCACTTGAAGTAAGATTACTTGACTAATAACATGAGTGTTTAAAGCAAATGTCTGTGCAAATTTACTTATTATCCGGCTTAATGTGAGATTTCATTGTGGGCTCTATAAATGTGAGTTTTAGAGCCATGATCTTAATACAGCGGAGTCGCTCAACCAAGCTAGCCACTAGGACAAAGGGTCACGGTCATAATCACTTACCACATGGAGCCATCCGGACCAAGCCATAGGTTATTTGTGGATCCGTCTGGTCAAACCACTTATTAGAGAACCAATCATAATTATATCACGTAGAGCCATATGGCCAAGCTAAGAATAAAATTTGAGAATAAATTTGAATGATATTCTCGACCGGACATTGCTCTTTGTGAGCTGAGTTATCCTTGAGTTCATCACCCTCGTCAAATGGTTGCGAAGGGTAGATGAATTTTTATTTAAGTTTTAGATAATTAATTTTAATTTTAAACATTAATATTCTTAATAGATGTAGAGCTTTGGAGTTTAGATAAGATTTAAAAATTAGCCCCTTCAATTGATATTAGCTTTCAACACGGTCATCATCAAGGTGACATTGAAGTCATTTTAAAAAAGTCGTATTTGTTAAAAGGATTGGAGGCATTTAGAAAGTAGAGTCCCCTCCAATTGAGGTTAACTTTCAATATGACCATCATCAGGGAGACATCAAATAATTGGTTATTTGAACATTGTCAACACTATTCGCCCACTAACAGAGGATTGGGTTCAATAATCGATGATAATGTAAACGCTAAAACAGAGATCTTATATATTTATGATAAGTTTCATTTAAAGAGCCTTTGAAGGCCTAATGTGGACTTTAAAATTAAAAATCTTGGTAGATTTCTGATTAGGCATTTATTTGTTAATTCACGTTAAAACTTGAATATTTGACCCCCCGCAACATTCTCAAACCTTAGGTTTAGGAGCTTAATAAAGTGGTTGGAGCACATGCATGCAGATATTTAGTTTTAAAATAGGATTTAACATTAGCGAGTTTTTAATCCCAACGCAGCATTCTAAAAAAATTGTGTTTACAAATTTATCACGTTTGTTGGAGCACATGCGGGGAATAAAAATCTTCTTTTGAATTAACATGCATGCTTTTTGATGAGTCGCGTTTAAATTTAGGAAATTATATTTTTATGCATGAGGGGATTTTAAAGTATCCAAGCATACCTTTTGTGTAAGTGATTATTGGAAAGTGTGTAAGATTTCATTTAAAATTCAAGAAATGCTTTTTGTTCATTGTGGATTCAGTGGCATGAGAAAGCATATTAGATTTCAATTGTAGTTCATTAGAGAGATGTTATTTAGCTTATCTTATCTCCTTTAAATTATCATATCAATTAACGCAGCTTGTAAGATATTTTTATTAAATAAATGTTAGGAGATCATGCTCTTGCTTGAAACTAAGCTACATTATTCACTACGAATTCCTTATTGTCATCCATAGGCAAGCTTATATGTTTGATACGAGCCCCCTTGGCTAATCGTGTGCACTACGAATTCTTATTGCTCCTACTCACAGGTGAATTGTAGTGTTCCTTAGAAGTTCCCTAATATTATTTATAGATTGTATGCTTTGTTTGATACGAGCTCCTTGTCCATGCCCATAGAATAATTATTGTGGGCACTATGAATTCCTTACTACTGCTCATAGGTGAATTATAATATACATTGCTACTCTATTTTTTCATGTAGGCGGGCTGATTCATTTGGTATGACCCCTTATTCTTGCTTGTGGGTTAATCATTGTATACACTACAAATTTCTAGCTCTTCTCACACATGAATTGTAGTGTTCTTTGCATGTTTCTCATCTTCACCCGCAAACAGACTGCTTTGTGCATCAAGAATCTTCCATTCATACTCGCAGACGGTATATGTGTTCTTGGTAAGTTGATTGATATTATTCATAGGCAGACTGTATTCATTACAAGTCTCTTATCTTTGCTCATGAGCGGGCTTCTGTGTTCATTCCAAGTCTAGTGTTCCTTACCCCTTAGCAAATTAGTATGCATTAGATGCCCCTTTGTAAATGCCCATAGGTGAATAATTCTACTGCAAGTTCCCTGCTCGTGCCTCTAGGCTGACTGATGGGAGCATTACAAGTTATCTGATGTTGCCCATAGGTGGATTGTTGTGCATTACAAATTCACTGTTATTGCTCATAGGCAAACTATTGTGTACATTACAAGTAGCTCATTTTCATAAGAAAATTATTTGTTCATTAGAAGTCCGTAGTCGCCTATTAGTGAGCAGCCACTTCCATTACAAATTTCCCACGCTTTCTTTTACGTTTAATTTGCATCGAGTTCTACCATTATTTTACAATTTTTATTTTATTGGTCTTTCATTTCAATGATTCATTTAGGTTTGGTCCCTTCTATATTTGTTTAAGTCAGTTTTCCTATTTACTAAAAAATTAGGTAGCCTCCAGGGGTCTCTCCCGTTTAGGAGAAATTTTTTGGAGTATAAGCCAGCCCACCACGCTAAGAAAGGAATGTTTGTGTCTTTAGAATATTTGCATGGATGCTCGCAAATTTCTTCGTCGGCATGAAAGCACGAGTACTTAATTTTACCCCGTCATGCTAAGAAAAGCACACACAAGGCTTACCCGATTTATCACAAGTGTCGCACCGAGCTTCCTCCCATCATGTTAAAAAAAGCTTACATATGACTATATGAGGTAAACTCATTGCATCACAAGAGTCGACAATGGGATTTGAGTTTTTGAGTTTAGCGAGCGTTATATCATTGCACGACAAGCGGCGGTGGCACCGAGGCGAAATGATGAGGGGCCAAAAAACACACTCAAATCTCTCTTTTCCTTATTTAGGCTTCGTTTGGGACGGCTTTTTTTCTGCTTTCTAAAACAGAGTTTTAATACAAAAATAAAAAAATTTGTACTAAAACTCCGTTTTAAAAAGCAATAAAAAAGCCATCCCAAACGAAGCCTTAATCTTTTTTATTTTTAGTTTTTGCTTTCACTCTCTTTTACTAATAATAATAATAATAGAGAGAGAGAGAGAGAGAGAGAGAGAGAGAGAGAGAGAGAGAGGGAAGAGAGTGGAGAGTTGGGATCTCTGTTTTGGGAGAATAGAAGGAGAGTGGAGAGTTGGGTTCTTGAAGTGGGATTTGTCTAGTAGGTAGTGTAAAGTGTAGTGGGTTGTAGGTGTATGCAAGATAATGTGACATGGATTTTTACTGGAAGTGGCAGGGAAGAAATGTTGTTGTCTTTTGGAAAAAATGTGCTGGCAAGATAAGTGGAGAAGGCTGAATTGGGTACTCAGGATGTGAAGGGGAGGAGGTGTTTGTAGGTTATTTGGGTTGAGTTTGGCTGGTTATGAAGGAAATGAAGTGGGTTGTTAGTGGTGTGGCTTAAGAGGCTGTTGGTAGCTGCTTAGGGAGGAGTTGTTTGTGAGGTTGATATGAGCTGATGGGCTAATGGCTAAGGGAGTTCAGCAAGTGGGCCGAACTTACAGGACGGCAAGGGTAAGTATAGAGCCGAACTTACAGCATTTGGCAGAGGATTTGGTCATGGTAGATATAATTTTAAATTTTAAAGAAATTTTTTTTTAAGAAATTTAATTTAAATTAAAATATAACAGGCAAAAGAAATGTGAATTAATTCCCTTGTTTATCAAGCATATCAATTTACGTGCACAACCTCAAAAGACATGTTGATTTTGCTTGTTTGCTTGTGCAAAAATTCAAGCTATTTCAATATGATTTTAACGTTCCGGACACAATGGCAATATTTGTTTTGTAAACATACGGTTTTTGGGCAATGTAGCACAACGCTCCATATGTAGTCCATCGATTTTGATCACCTTAGCTCAATTCAATTGTAAGGAGCCCCCCCTAAGGTAAATTCGATGTTCTTATCACATCGGCGTTGTATGTTTAGTGATCGAAATGTCATTTGGGTCATTTTGTATAGTGTCAACTTGAAATTCATGAGAATTTTATCTTTTTACATTGTACAATGGTCTAGACAATATTGCAGTCTTTTCTACATGATTTGGACATTTTGAACACAATGATTAAATCTTTTCGCGAACATATATCGTTCGGGTAACATCACGTCTGTAGACCGTCAATTTTGATTGCTTCTATTCAAATAGATTGTGAGGGGTCTTGTCCCCTTAGGTAAACTCAATGCCTTGATTACATCAGTGCATTTTGTTCAGAGATCATAAGCCATTTGGGCATTTTTGTGCGGCGTCGCACTCGCCAACAATTGGTTTTAAATCTTTGCTCAATTGAGATCGAGTCAAGTATAAACAACTCCTCTTTGGTAAATTCAATATCTTAATGCATTGATGCAGTCCGTTTTACAATCGAACAAAATTTGAATCATTTCATCACGAACAAGATACTCGGATCTTCGTTCTAAGTGATCTCTTGTATGCCAACCATAGTCGATCATCGTATCCTTAGCTTGCATTGATCATGCCACATATAGGAAGGTCAACTTTCACTTCATGAGATTTTGCTTTTTTTTTTTAATATGTAAAATCTTTTGTTATCAGAAATATGCAAATTATTTATATTTTTGTAAAATTGTGTAATTTTTAGCGTAGTGAGCTTTTTATTAATTAATAAATATTTTCCAAATTTATAATTTCATAACTAATAGATGGTTTATAGAAATATGATAAACTTAGAAAACTATAAAAATATATTTATATTTCATAGCTAATCCGGAAACTTAAGAATGACCCGGTTTTAACCCGGATCGGCATATTTATGAGATTTGGCTGAAGAAGTGCATGAAACAGAGAAAGTTCTTCACAGCGAGTGAACTCCCGTTGTTGCTTCCGATCAAAATGTTGTAACTTATAATCTGACCTGAAGGGAATGTCATCCAATGAGCGAAGTTGTACAACAGCAACCTTCACAACGAGCGAACTCCAGCGTTGCTTCCAATCAAAATGTTGTAACTTCCGATTCGACGGGAAGAGAACATCGTCCAAGGAGCGAAGTCAAACAACAACAAAGGAGCTGGCGAGGTAGCGAGCAAACTCCCATCATTTCTTCGGCGCTTTCGATCAAAATGTTGTAACTTCCAATCCGACGGGAAAAGAGCGTCGTTCAAGGAGCGAATAGCGAAGTCGAGCAGCAACGAAGGAGCTAGCGAGGCAGCAAGCAAACTTATGTTGTTGCTTCGGCTAATCAAAATGTTGTAACTTCCGATCCGACGGGAAGAAAACGTCGTCCAAGGAGCAAACATCTGGTCCGAAAAACCGACCAGTTTGCAAAAAAAATCGGTCGGGTTTGGGGCAGGTCGAGCAGTGCTGAGTCAGTTTCTGATTGGACCCGAACCCGACCCGTGACCCGATTTTGACAGCCCTAATTGAACTCCCCAAATTTATATTTGTTATGATGAAATGAGCTTTTCGAGGCACTGAGAAGTATTCATTTATCATATCTTTACATAAGCCTTTATTCCTGATAAGCTGTTCATGGCTTTGAAGCATGTAATGCTGATTTGGAAAACCACAAAGTCCTTTGAAAACTATTTTCATCTTTTCGATTGCTTAACCGCTCAGATTCCTTAAACAATGACAACTTTTTTGTGCAGGTTTCTTCATTCTATAAATTGGAATCCCCCAATGGATTTGGGGGGCACAGAGAACACCTTAGAAATCTGAAGTACTTGAAACAGGAGAGGGAGGAGAAGCTGTAATCCAGAATGAAGAATCAAAGCCAGGGCTCAGTCATTGGTTATCCTGTTATTCTTGAGCCAATTGTTGCATACAGTCGGCCTGCAGAATACGGCACTGCTCATCTGAAGCAAAGTAATGATTAAATATCTCATTTTGATTTTGTAGAAAGTTTATGGAAGTTTAACTTAAAGTTCTTTTTTTTCCCTCGAAAATGTGCAGAGAGATTGGAGTCCATCATTGATCTGATGAACAAGTTTAGAAGAAAAGCTGATAATCTTGCACAGGGCATCGGAGATCATGGTAATTAGCAAATGAATTTTAGACTTTGAAACATATTTAGGAGTTGAAAGAACATCATTAAGATTTTGTTTGGGACGGCTTTCTTACTGTTTCTTAAAGCAATTTTTTAGTTTAAAAATTAAAAGCCGTTCCAAACGAAATATGAAGCTTAAAAGATAAATTTAATCTATCTGCAATTAGATAGGCAGCTTAGATATGAAAAATTCATGAATAGTTTAGTTTAATGTGATTGAAGTGATAATGCTAAGATGGATGCGTAAAAAAAATTAGAAAATTTTGATTGAGGAATAATTATAGCAAAGAATGGCGAGAGTGCATCAATTGAAGACAAGACAATAAAAGGTATATTTAAAGCTCATTTGGTTGAAAACATATTTAAAAAATAACAAAATTTACTAGATCCATCATTTCTTTTTTAAGCTCCTCAAACCCACTCCAATTCTCTCAATTGTAATCATTTCATTTTTCACACACAAAAATAAATAAATATAAAATATTGTCCTCCAAATATACAAAACCGAATGAATTTTTAGAAAGTTAGAACAAGATTAATGAAGGATAGAAAATGTTCAAAAAAAGAAGAGAATTCAAAATTACAGTCAAAGATTTTGAAAGAGGAGAAAAACCATTAATAATCTACATAAAAATCATGCAAAATATTTGCATACAATGAGTTTAACTTCTCATGCAAGCATGCAGCACTCATCACAAACAAATAAAGAATATATATACTCACAAATTCATCACAAATAGTTTGGAGTAGTGTTATGTGTGGAATCTAATTGTGTTAATCAATCTGGTTATTCTGTTGTCTCGGACCTTAAAACTTGTCGTGTTCGCTGGGGGTGCGAAGGGTTTACCCACTAAAATTTCTAATTTTTTTCCTACAACGCCCCGGCGTTGCGTACCCGAGCGCCCCCCAGCATTGCGTATCCAAGCCCCCCCCCCCCCCCGGGTATCCAAACCCCCCCCCCCCCCGGCGCCGACGTTGTGCTTGCCTTGGTACAAGAAAGATAGCAGAGTGTCATAATGGTATAGATACAGTGTTGCAACGGTACAACACAAAGGCTTGAGTGCCTCGGATGGATTGGATGGCTTTCTTTCTTATTTCTCTGAATGATTGCATCCCTTGAGGTTATTTTACTTGGCTTTCAATCTCTTGTATTTTGAGTGTATTTAGTGATCTGTACTTATTTCTTTCAATTTTCATAGTGAATTTCTTGATGTTGTGTAGCTCCGTAGTTTTTTTTTCCTATTTGGAATTTTTCTGCGTTAAATCTTGGTGTCTTTTATTTTTCCGCTGCTTTTACTTTTTTGCTTGTTTCTTCATTAAGATGTGTTACTCCTTATCTCTCCCCAACAAGTAGGTTAATGATTGCGAAAATGATGATGATATGCTTACAAATTCTAATAAGAAAAACTTCTTCTAAAGTTTTTTTATACCTTATACATTATCGAATGCTTAAGAGTACAAATATTTTTCATAAATCTAACTTCGTAGCACCGCAAAAATTTTAAGCAAGCTTGGGACCAGGAGTCTCTAAAACCGTTAAAGGGAAGTTAAAGTGGGTACAAGGATTCTTCAAGCTGGAGGAACTGAGAGGGTATTTAAGAAAAGTTTCTCCATTGCTGAAGGTGAAAAGCTGATTCAGGCATTCCAGTGCCATCTTTCAACAACAGCTGGTCCCATTCCAGGACTCCTCTTCATTTCAACAGAAAAAATTGCTTTCATTAGTGACCGATCTCTGCTCGTCAGATCTCCTAAAGGATATGTTGCCAAGATTCCTTGCAAGGTTTTTTTTTTTTTTCTCTCCTTCATTTCAGCAAAGCATTCTTCAGTTAAATGTTTCTATATTGTTTACTGACTATTCTATTAAACTTTGTGCAGGTATTGATTCCACTGAGAAGAATAAAAGGTGCAAATCCAAGTGAAAATTCTAACAAGCCAAATCAGAAGTATATTCAGATTGAAACTACTGATGCTTTCGAGTTTTGGTTTATGGGTTTTGTTTGTTATCAAAGATCATTTAAGAATTTGAAGCAAGCAATATCAGAATCACAAATGAGCTATCTGAAGTGAATAGTATGAAGACTAAGATTGGAAAATATGCAGAGGAAAATAGTGAAGTGAGATTAAAAACATCTTGTTCTTGTTACTGGTGATGAGATTGCTCATTACTTACAGCAGCATCTTTTTACCATCATTAAGTTTTGAGTTCCTATCCCTATCTGTACAGCTTTATGGTAGTACTACAGGAATCGTCTAAAAGAAATATTTGCCTGTTTTCCTAATTTTTTAGTTTTTTTTTCTTTTTTTTTCTTTTTAACTGAGTGATTTCATTGAACGGAATTATAAACTTGGAAGTCTGCTTGGTTGGAGTTTAAGGCTTGATTTCGTTAGGTTTCTCCTGTTCATGGAAGGGTTGAGAAGCTGAGAAAGTACTATATGAATCAATGAAAGAAAAAGGTTGAGAAATTGTGATCAGAAAGTTATTTTTTCAAACAATTTAAAAGAGGTTTATAAAATGCTATATGAAATCTGCTTTATGAATCAACTTCAAAATTCTGTTCCGAACGCAATTTTTAGAAGGAAAATTTTCAAAAATTTTATCAAATAAGATGCCTATGTTTTGTTGTAGCTTCTAATAGTGTAAAATTGGTGAAAAAACGCTCATACGGAAGTGCTCCCAGTCAGTTAAGGTCTTCAACAATGTAATAGTTATGTGATGTTAAACTTTATTTAGGATAGTTTTCTTACTCTTTTTTAAGGTCTTCAACAATATAATAGTTATATGTCATAATTTTGTTTGCTTGTGAATATAATAGAATGTATTATTTTAAAATATAATTCAATTTTCACTCATTACATTAATTTTTGTTTTATTTTTTGAGTATTTAAAAAGTGTTTGTAGAGTTACAAAAAAAATTTAATTTTCTAACAACAGCCAACCAAGAGATGGATCCATTAAATTCTTCATTTTACACGTGTTTTTAGCTTCAAGCAGCCAAATTAGACTTCTAAATGATTGCAGTTAACCGGTTCATTTTGGCTTTTGATTTGAGCTTGGTTTGGAATAATTTTCTTTTTGTTTTATAATATAATTTTTTAGTAAAAAAATTTTAAATTCAAAAATATTTTGTACTAAAAAACTGCTTTATAAAATAATAAAAAACTATCTTAAATTAAAACTTAGGCTTCATTTAGGACAGCTTTAAAGCAACTTTTTAATTTGAAAAATTACTTTAAGAAGTAATAAGAAAGCTGTCTCAAACGAATCCTAAGTGATGCCAACCAAGAGATGGATCCATTAAATTCTTCATTTTACACGTGTTTTTAGCTTCAAGCAGCCAAATAAGACTTCCACCTTATTGCAGTTAACCGATTCATTTTGGCTTATATTTAGGCTTCATTTGACACAATTTTTTTATTACTTTTTAAAACAAATTTTTAATTTAAAAATTAAAATTTTTATACTAAAAAACCGTCCCAAACGAAATCTTAGACTTCATTTCAAACAACTCCCTTATTGTTTTATAAAATAATATTTTAGTAAAAAATTGTAAATTAAAAAATATTTTGTTCTAAAAAATTGCTTCATAAAATAATAAAAAAATTGTATCAAATAAAAAACTTAGTAACACATATAGAATATTGATTCTGGCTTCACTCAATCAAATAACGGATCTTTAAACAACCAAATGAGGCGTAGAAGCATTTGTCAAATAACTTCAGCAATGACACATCAGAATCATAAGATTAGCCAAACTAAGACATGGAAATGTATTGTAAATTAGCCTATCTGTTAAAATAAATAAATAAATAAATAAATACAATATCCAGCAGAGCCAATTTGACTGCCGAGGAGGAAAAAAAAACTGGATGTGAATTTTTAACTATAATAAAAAATGAAAAATATAAATTCAAGTTAGTGACTTCTTTATGAAGACTCTTTGCTGCATGACAAGACGCAGTCTACAAGGAAGCTGGTGAGCTGCGAAGTATAGAGATTTGGATGATTTCTGAAATGGTCCACATGAGGTGAATTCCCAAAATTACAGGCCCTGACCTCATGGCCGGCTCTTCTTTGCTTCTCCACAAAGGATTCAACGCATTTGGCTGGAATAACCCTATCAGCAGAGCTGTAGATGTACAATTGTGGGCATTTTGGCTGCTCCATGGACAATATTTCCAACACATCTGTTAACCTCCTGGTAAAAGTGCAGAAATGGCGGATGTTAGAATGTAAAATTGGTGATGACGCTGGCCTATTAGTAGGACAACACAATGAGGAAGCTTTTGCTGATAACAGATGAGGTTTAAGTACAATTTGACTCTCCCGAGGCAGCAACAGAAGTAATTTTTTAGCAGCAGAGAGGCGGGGAATGCAGCTCTTCCTATTAACAAAAGTGGCATTGCCCTGCCAAGAGCGGATAATGGAACCAAATGTGTCCCGAGGCAATAGTGGGGCAGATTGGGTAGGGAGGCTCCAAGGACAATATCTATAACGTTCTGGATGTCTTTAAGCAGGGGTAATTGATCAGGGAGATCATCAGGTAAGACATCAGCAAAATCATTCAGTATGGGTTGAACCTCCTGAGGGATAGGCTCGTCATACTCAATGGCTACAGTGAGTATTTTTAGACCCTGAATTGTTTAAAGTGTGATCAAGCAGGTAAGGTTGATACAATTATCGGATTGAGATTTCAATCATATGATAATTGCACATGGTGAAGTTACTAATCTCAGTTAAACAATGCACTTTGGAATGTTAGAGGTGCCTTTTTCAAAACCAGAATGATTTTGAAAAAAGGCAATCAAAATTAAATCCAATAATCCAAAGTGAATTTCCTACCGCCATAGAGTAAGGCTTCGTTTGGGACGGCTTTTTTATTGTTTTTTAAAACAGAGTTTTAATACAAATTTTTTTATTTTTGTATTAAAACTCCGTTTTATAAACCAATAAAAAAGTCGTCCCAAACGAAGCCTAAGGGTTACTACAAAAGCAATTGTTATGCCGCAGTACTGAGATGGAGGCTGATACTGGCCTAGATCATCTACCATTTATATATGGCTGAGAATATCTTCTAAAATTATCACTATGTTGTAAACAGTGACTAAATGATTTGCTTGTTTAAATTTTAATTGTTAAAGATAAGCAATTGTATGCAAAAATAAATAAGATATAAACGAAAAAGATAACTTGAATGTCTGCTTCTTAAATCAGGAACTAGATCTCGTTGACAACAATCAGTAAGATGCTATGCCATAGATAAACAAATTTCAGCTGTGCTAAGAGATTTTTTAACCAAGCCTTTCTACAAAAATTTCTATATAGATTTTAATATTTGCACCAAGTTGCCATTAAAATTTATTTAAGTTCATTAAGACTTCGTTTGGGACGGCTTTTTTATTGTTTTCTAAAACGGAGTTTTAGTTAAAAAATAAAAAAAAAAATTGCACTAAAACTCCATTTCATAAAGCAATAAAAAAGCCGTCCCAAACGAAGCCTAAATCTAATGGCCGCATGAACTACATTTATTTATTGATGCGTGCAAACACCAAATACATGATTATTACCTGTTAATAGCAGGAAGATTCAGAACCACGTCAAAGAATTTCTCCAAAACAGTTAACATGACAGCTTCAAGAACTGCAGGTTTTGGCTGCTCCAACGAAATATTAGGATCTACTATGCCTTTGGCAGCCACGCTCCGCTTTTTCAAAAAGGCAGCAGAGAATCCGGAAGCCCAAACCTAAATAATGTGAAAAAATAGATATTAGAATTTTTTCAAGCCTGCAAGCTAAAGATCAAAGACATGCAACAAGTACAAAATCCAATAAATATTCTGATGTAAAGTGAATCAAATATCCAAGGCTGTTATTGATTTCAATCCTCCAGTAAGAAGCTATATTTACATTAAAAGAATTGCATCATCTTGAATGGTGTCAAACGACTGGAGAATTAGCCATTTGAAAGGCACTCTTGTCATGGGGCTTGATCACATATATTTAAATCATGATCAAGAATGGCCAACTACAAAAACAGCTTGATTTGTACTCCAAATAATTTCCCAAAACAAAGCCAGGTATGCTTCAAACACGTCAATTTGAAAAGAACAGAGTTGATATCATCACAATCAACAACATTATTCACATCCCAAATATTTAGATAAGTTAAATTTCATTATTTTCCATTTGTTACCATTGAATGTTTCATAAGGCGTTTAGCTTGTTATGCATAATTATTTTGAAATATGTTTTATTCATATTACATAATATCTATTTATTTTCTTTCAAATCCTTTGATGATAACCTTATCTGTGTACACCAACAAAGCACCTAAGGTGACTTTCCACTACTTTTATCTTCAATAAATGCAACTCTTAATCTCTTATGGAACCATCCTTCTGATATAATTATTCTTTATTGTATCCTTTCCAATTTTGTCACAGTCGTCATAACATTTTTACTTCCATCACACTCAACGTAACAATTATTTAATTCTGATATAATTATTCTTTATAACTCTTCAAATATCCAAGATATACATTAATAGCATAATACTCCTAAAGCACTTCTCCATTTTAACAACTATGCATTAAATCTAGAACGTATATCCTAAATTCTAATTCATATCTCCATTATTTTGTATAATAGATTCACAATACTCTAACCTATTACATCTACCTATCATTTTATCTTGCTAATAAATGTAAATATTAGAACCACTATAATAGCATATCATATCCTAAATTTTTATTCTATTAATTCTAAATATTTGATCTAATAAAAATTTGATCAATTATTTTAACGTTTCATTTATTTTAACATATATGTAACCGGTTACTAAGATCAGTTAGATAACCAACATAATACAGAAGCATTTCATACCTTCAAAAAAACATTTTGTGGTTAATGAATAGCAAAGAGAAGTTAAGGAAACGAAGATAAGATAAAACACGCATGCCTCAAAGAACAATGCATGCATCACAGAAAAAGACAAGCAACTGAAGGTTATAGACTGCATTCATGAGAGCCAAATAAACTTGAATAGGAGAAAAAAACTATTCAACCAAGAAAAGTAATTAGAATAGAACATTGAACTTACCTGTGGGTCAGGATCAGCCACAGGGGCAGAGTCCACAATACAACCTTTAATCTTTCCCATTACGGAAGGATCTTGCTTCTGAAACTTCTCAAGAACAACTCCATATCTGTAAAGACAAATTTTCCCGTCAAACTAAATAATCTGCGATGAAGAAAAATACGAGTAAACATTAAATCTATATGAAGAAACCGAGAGAGTACATTAGCCAGCCCGTGTTACTGAACGTGTGGAAGACCAAGTTCTTCCCACTTTCTTCTGCAACCCAATCAGCTAGATGGTTTGCAAGCATTTCCACATCAATTTCTGCTTGCCCACCAGCCTTGTAGCTAACAATTTCAGAAATAGGAAAGGTGAAGGTCACGGCATGAAAACCCCTGGAAGTGTACCACTCAGCATATCTCTGCAAGTGCTTCTGTTTTGCACCCAACCATCCCAACAAAACGACAACTGTCTGAGACTTTGAGGATGAGCAATTTGACTTCCCTAACATCCCATCAGCATTTGGGTCTGGGAGATGCCATCGGTAGAGAACATCTGATGAATGAGTTGTCTTGGGATTAAACACCTGACCATTAGATGGCTTGGCTAGCTTTGCATAGCGGTATGGATCAAGAGGTGCAGGTGGTGAAGCAATCGAAGACGAAGAACCAAACATGAACTCAGCTGAATGAGAAATGCCCGAATTGACCAGTGGCCAAGCCTTTGACATAAAAGAGATACCTAAACTCTTAGTCTCTGAGATTGCAGAAGCCCGTGAATCAGACTGCTTTGAGGAGCTGGGAACAGAAGGAGGGATGACATCTGAAGATTTCTGACCAGCAAATCGTTCTGGGATGTAGTCAGAAGACACCGCCGCGAGGGCAACAGCGGCCAACGCCGATAGAGGCCGATGAAAGTTTCCATGTAATGAAGCCATGTAGGCGAAGCAGATCAAATTCTTCAAGACGAACAAGCAATGCAATCGCTTTAGAGATTATAATCAAACAACCAGCAATGGACGGGTAGAAATATTATATAGAAAAGAAAAGTTGGAACAGAAAAGAGAATTAAAGGTGTACTCACCGCCAAAGCAGGATAACGAGGAAACGTGTTGAAACTGGGCTCGCAGTCAAAAGAGATTGACAACGCAACCCAACTTATAGGAGACCAAGTCCTTGGGATCTCTTTTCTCTGTCTCTCTATTTCTGCGAGAACGACTACAGATATAAGGAATGGACCAAGAACATGCATAGCAATTAACATATCGAGAAACAAACCAATGGAAAAAAAAAATCGGCTGCGCATCAATTTTTCCACAAAAATCATAGCCCCTCACATCGATTAGGGTTTTCAAATTTTCAACTTCAACATCGCCGATCGAGGGTTATAGAACGAATGCGTGTAGTTTGAAGAAAGGGAAAGCCCGGCGCTTGCAACGTGAAACATATGGCTCATATTTGCCAACATAAATAAACCGTAAAAAGAAAATAAAAAACAAAAACATGGCAATCAACGATAAACGGTAGATAGACAACAGGAAATAGAAACCCTATGGTCAAGCTCTCAAATCCGGGAGGAAAACGATTGGATCGTCTCGCAGCGTTCCGTCGACCAAAAGCCAAAACAATAAAAATTAAAAATTAAAATTTCCTTCAAAAAGTTTTGGCCACCGAACTGTTGGAAACGCGTGGCCGCCTTCGCCTATTGCGTAAAATTAACGGTGATTTTGAAACAAAGGTTCTTATTCTTTCAAGATTCTAAAGAATATGCTTGCCGATGTCGCATAATCCCAGGAAAACGGGAAAATCCTAAGAATATGCTCTTCAAATTCCTACGAATATATCAAAATAAAATTAAAGAAAACACTCCGTCAAAATCTCTAACACAGTCATCTCGTCCACTCCTCACCAGAATTTGCAGGTGAATGCATCAGCTATCTCCCTCCTTTGTGATCTCTGGATGCTCCTCAAACACCCCTTGATTGATAGTGAAGGCTTATATGCTCTTTCAAGGTCTCTTGATTCTGATGCATCTTATTTAAAGTAAAACATAACGTTTCATGCATATATTTTAACATAATTTTGATTATTATATTAACAAATATAAAAGTTTACATATTAGATATATAAATACATTAAATTATTATAATATGTGTTGCGAGTTAGAATATATGCGGCGATAGAGTTAGAGTATTACATCTTAGTGTTGCACTAATATCTAGTTCACACACAGAGAATAAAAGTTTTTTTATGTAGAAGACCCTGAAATAGGGAAAAATCACGGGGTTTGGCCTATTTGAAAATGATTACGCTAGAATTTGAATAGATTATAACGGGCTAACTCGTCCTTGAGGGCGATCATATTACAAATGTCATATGTAAAGTTGAAATCTAGTGACAAACACGGATAATAGTCTGGCATCACTTGGTGGTCTGGCAGAAATCTGGTGTGACTTGAAAATTCAGGCGTTAATTAGTTATTCGATGAAACTCTGGGGTCACTTGGTTGTCTGGAGGAACTCCGGGTGTCAGGTGGTGGTCCGACAGAACTAGGGCCTCTGGTGGCTGTCCGACAGAAGTTGGGGCGTCAGGTGGTGGTCTGGCAGAACTCCGAGTCTCGGGTGGTTGTCCGGCAAAAGTCCAGGCCTCAAGTGGCGGTCCGGCAGAAGTGAGGGCCTCAGGTTGTGGTCCAGTGGAACTCATGGCCTCAAATGTTGGTCTGGCAGAGCTCAGGGCCTCAGGTGGTTGTCCGACGGAGCTCAGGGCCTTAGGTGGTGTTCCGGCGGAACTCGGACGGTGATCGAGGAGGCGGGAGGTGAGAGCAATATCCTATCTCTCTCTCTTTTATCCTTAAGCTTAGGGTCCTTTTTTCAAAAGGAAAGGGGACTCTATTTATAGATTTCCTAGTTTGGTATGGCCCGTAAAATAGGTAAAAAATCTAGGGCAAATGAGGAGTGGTTTGGATGGAGGGCCAATGTTGAATCTCTTGATCGTCAATCGTTCATTAGATGTTTGAAGGACTTAATGATGTCAAAATTCTATTATCTTAGGCTCGTTGGATTCTTCTCGTCGAGCCGCTCTATTCGACTATAAGCATGTTATGTTTGGAAACCGTTTGGTAACACAAATTGTGGTTCGAACCTTCCAACAACGCTTCTGGCCCTTGCTTTGGACCCATCTGGACTCGGATTGAGTCGATTTTGGTGTCTTTGGGTTCGTATTCTCGAAACATTGAGTTTGACTGTAAATTTGCTGAAATTGGAGTTCGAAGGGTCCCCATTTTAATTTCGGAAGTTTCTAACTCAATTTTGTCTCAAGATTTGTGCCTAATCAGGATAATTTTTCGAGGATGTATCAATATGTATGTCAACCTTTTTTTATGTTTGATTGAACGCTGCATAGAATTTGATCAACTACATAAAAAATAAGGCCGAATTAGTTACCTTATAAGAAAGGATAATAATCATTTTAAATAAATTAGTATGGTAGCTCATAAAACAATCTAGTTACTTCATATTATAAACACACTGAATGATTAGAGGAAAATTTATTCTATGTGGTCATCGAACGGTCCAGAGACGGATCTGAACGCTCCACATCACCTGTTACCGAGTCATACACAACAACAAAAATGACGCGTTCTAACTCGCCTATGGATGTCGTTCAGTGAATGCACATAATAATTTTACTTATCAGAGGGCCTTCCAGCATTGCGAAATAAACATCACATTAATTGTAATTTTAGATAAATCTCAGAGCAATATATAAAACTTTTATTTATTAGATATGAAGTTATTATCTTTAAGATTACAATCGTATTTAGATTGATCACTTGATCAGTGATGAGAGAGATATATAGGCTTCATTTAGGACATTTTTTCTTACTATTTTTTAAAGTTGTGTTTTAATATAAAAATTAATAAAAAAAATAATTCAAAACATTTTTGTGCTAAAAATTTGCTTTATAAAGTATTAAGAAAACTGTTTCAAACGACATAAATTATTTTGTGCGGAGTCCATATAAGAAGAACAGTCTGGATTGCTATGTAAAATAGTAAATACTCCACAAATATTCAGTAAAGACATAGTAAAACAACAAATACTCACAAAATACTCAACGATTACTCATAAAATACTCAATAATACTCACAACTAAGTATTTGTTGCGTATTTACTCAGTATTTACAAATACTCATTAAATATATAATAAATCCAGACTTGATGCAGACATCCGATCATGAAGATTTTCAAAAGATGAGACGACGATCGACAGCTGAGATCATTCCACCTTATCTTAATTTATTATTTATAATTTTTATTTTTATTATGAATTTTCAGTTTTTAATCTTACTTAAGAGGGTCGTCCTACGTGAGCACTATGGGCATATTATCAAAATAAAATTAAAGAAAACACTCCGTCAAAATCTCTAACACAGTCATCTCGTCCACTCCTCACCAGAATTTGCAGGTGAATGCATCAGCTATCTCCCTCCTTTGTGATCTCTGGATGCTCCTCAAACACCCCTTGATTGATAGTGAAGGCTTATATGCTCTTTCAAGATCTCTTGATTCTGATGCATCTTATTTAAAGTAAAACATAACGTTTCATGCATATATTTTAACATAATTTTGATTATTATATTAACAAATATAAAAGTTTACATATTAGATATATAAATACATTAAATTATTATAATATGTGTTGCGGGCAAGAATATACGCGGCGATAGAGTTAGAGTATTACATCTTAGTGTTGCACGAATATCTAGCTCACACATAGAGAATAAAAGTTTTTTTATATGGAAGATCCTGAAAAAGGGAAAAATCACGGGGTTTGGCCCATTTGAAAATGATTATACTAGAATTTAAATAAATTACAGCGGGCTAACTTGTCCTTGAGGGCGATCAGATTACAAATGCATCTGTAAAGTTGAAATCTAGTGACAAACAAGGATAATAGTCTGGCATCACTTGGTGGTCTAGCAGAAGTCTGGTGTGACTTGGAAATTCAGGCGTTAATTAGTAGTCCGATGAAACTCTGGGGTCACTTGGTGGTCTGGAGGAATTCTGAGTGTCAAGTGATGGTTCGACAGAACTACGAGCCTCTGGTGGCGGTCGGCCAGAAGTTGGGGCGTTAGGTGGTGGTCTGGCAGAACTCCGAGTCTCGGGTGGTGGTCCAGCAAAAGTCCAGGCCTCAAGTGGAGGTCTGGCATAAGTGAGGGCCTCAAGTGGTGGTCCGGTGGAACTCATGGCCTCAAATGGTGGTCTGGCAGAGCTCCAGGCCTCAGGTGGTGGTCCGATGGAGTTCAAGGCCTCAGGTGGTGTTCGGCGGAACTCCGATGGTGATCGAGGAGGCGAGCAGGTGAGAGCAATCTCCTATCTCTCTCTTTTCTCCTTAGGCTTAGGGTACTTTTTTCAAAAGGAAAGGGAACTCTATTTATAGATTTCCTAATTTGGTATGGCCCGTAAAATAGGTAAAAAATCAAGGGCAAATGAGGAGTGGTTTGGATGGAGGGCCCATGTTGAATCTCTTGATCGTCAACCGTTCATTAGATGTTTGAAGGTCTTAATGATGTCAAAATTCTATTAGCTTAGACTCGTTGGATTCATCTCGTCGAGCCGCTCGATTCGACTATAAGCAAGTTATGTTTGGATACCGTTTGGTAACACAAATTGTGGTTCGAACCCTGCAACAACGCTTCGGGCCCTTGCTTTGGACTCATCTAGACTCGGATTGAGTTGATTTTGGTGTCTTTGGGTTCGTATTCTGGAAACGGTGAGTTTGACTATAAATTTGCTGAAATTGGAGTTCGAAGGGTCTCCATTTTATTTTCGAAAGTTTCTAACTCAATTTTGTCTCAAGATTTGTGCCTGATCGGGATAATTTTTCGAGGATGTATCAATATGTATGTCAATTCCCTTTTATTTTTTTTTATGCTTGATTGAATGCTACATAGAATTTGATCAACCACATAAAAAATAAGGCCGAACTAGTTACCTTATAAGAAAGGATAATAATCATTTTAAATAAATCAGTATGGTAGCTCATAAAAAAAATCTAGTTACTTCGTATTATAAACACACTGAACTATTAGAGGAAAATTTATTCTATGTGGTCATCGAATGATTCAAAGACGGATCAGAACGCTCCACATCACCTGGTACCGAGTCATACACAACAACAAAAATGACGCGTTCTGACTCGCCTCTAGATGTCGTTGTTCGGTGAACGCACAGAATAATTTCACTTAGCAGAGAGCCTTCCAGCATTGCGAAATAAACATCACATTAATTGTAATTTTAGATAAATCTCAGAGCAATATATAAAACTTTTATTTATTTGATATGAAGTTATTATCTTTAAGATTACAGTCGTATTTAGATTGATCACCTGATCAATGATGAGAGAGAATATAGGCTTCATTTAGGACATTTTTTCTTACTATTTTCTAAAGTTGTGTTTTAATATAAAAATTAATAAAAAAAATTTTGTATTAAAAAACTGTTTTAGAAAGTATTAAGAAAATTGTTTCAAACGACAGAAATTATTTTGTGCGGAGTCCATACAAGAAGAACAGTCTGGATTGCTACATATTTTGCTGTAAATAGTCCACAAATATTCAGTAAATACATAGTAAAACAGCAAATACTCATAAAATACTCAACGATTACTCATAAAACACTCAATAATACTCACAACTAAGTATTTATTGCGTATTTACTCAGTATTTATAAATACTCAACAAATACTCATTAAATATATAATAAATCCAGACTTGATGCGGACATCCGATCATGAAGATTTTCAAAAGAGAAGACGATGATCGACAACCGAGATCATTCCACCTTATCTTGATTTGTTATTTATAATTTTTATTTTTATTATGAATTTTCAGTTTTTATCCTTACTTAAGAGGGTCGTCCTACGTAAGTCCTAGGGGCATATGTGTCTTGTTTTAATTTCTTAGGCCTATATATAGAGGCCCTTGCTTGTGTAATGTAATAATGGAGTTTTAATTAAAAAAAAATTATTCTGCACTTTTATTCTTTGGGAGGATGTTAGTGAGAATCCCTATGGAGGGAATCGTAGTTTCCACCAGCCACAGGATGGGTCCAGGCTCGTAGCTTGAAGTCCCTTGGTGAAGGGCAACGCATCACCCATCAGTCTTCAGAAGAGTCAAAGGCTCGTGATTTTATCTTTTTTCTTTGATTTTGTCTCTCCTTATTTTTCCTTTAACCGCTGGCTAAATCTCCCCCTAGTCGCCGGCCACCCCACCAACCAATTCCAAATCATCCTTTTATTACTTTCCTAATTTCATTCAAAGTAATTTGAGAATTTTAAATTTAACTTTCAAATTAATTTGAGATTTGAATTTTCGTCATTAATTTGAATTGATTACACAATTCCCTCCCATCTATTAATTTTGAATTTTAAATTTTGAAATGTCTTTCATCCCTTTCCTAATTTAAGATTCTAATTTAAAAAAATCATTCAATTACCCCATTATCATCTTCCTAATTTAGCCCCTATCTTATTTGAAAATATTTCATAATTAAAATTCAAATGAATCTGAATTTCAAAATCTTTCCTAAATATCATATATCTATTTTAGAAAATTCCCCCCAATTAATACAAATCTGAATTAAATAATTTGATTTGAATTTAATTTCTCCTATTCAATGTATGTGGACACATACATCGAATCTGGACATCTTTCCTCCCTCCTCCTTGAATGGCCCTCTCTCTCCCCTCTATCATAATTATTTCCTCCCTAATTAAGTGCCCAATTATGGAGATAATAAATTCCTCTCTTCTCTCCCTTCTTTTTGTATTTGAATTTCAAATTCAAATCAATTAATTAAGGGAAATCTAAGATGGAATTTTAGCTCTTTAATTTTAATTGCCCCACTTTGTTCTACATCAGGACTGTTCTCCCCATTTGAACTCCGCACCGAATAATTTGTGTTCTTCAAACAAATCCATAGAGACAACATAGTGAAAAAGCTGGTTATGTGAATGAAAACCCATTTTGTTGCTACCGAGGCGTATTTGTTGCAACGAGAATTTCTCAAAGAATTGGTAGTCATCAAGGCTGACTTAGAAATCTCATGCCTTGGGTTCAAAGCCTGATATCATCTCAGATTGCGTATGCTCCTTTGTTTTCTGGGGATTTGTGTCGCTACATTGAGAATAATGATTCTTAAGGTTTCTTAAGACATATTGTGGAAGCTTTCACAGTATATTATCTCATCTTACGATATGACGATTATGGTATACAGTACTTAAAATGGTTGTTCAGGCGTACCATTTCAGTATAAAAGCAGGCATCGGGTCTTTATAGATAGATGAATAAATATGATACTATTCAGACTGCTAATCTCTTTTTTGTAGTCTTCTTGCTACATACGTTACTATTTCTGATTCAACATGGCATCTAAGCAGCAGACATGATGCAGGATATATATGAAAAAAAAATTGATTTAGATAAGAATTTTGCACGCTTGATGATTAAGAGCAAATTAACTAAGCTTTATAGTGAGACATCAACAAGTTAACTTACTGGGTGTCTTTAGTTGGAGGTAATTGATCATAAAGATCATCAGGGAAGGCATTAACAAGTTTACTAAGTATGGGCTGAATCTCCTGAGGGACTGGTTTGTCAGACTTAGTGGAAGTCTCACGACCCACTTATAAGATGTGCAAGGGTGCCCTTCGGGCTATGGCAGCTAAGAGGTTCAGTCCCTTCTTGGATTTAACAGGGTTGGATTCAGGATCATCCATAACTCGAGGCTATGATGGCAAAAGCTTGATCTTTTTGCCCTCATGTTCAAACATGCAGGTGTTTGAACGCCCATAGATATGGACATTGTCGTCAAATAGCCAGAGACGACCTAGAAGGATTTGTCTGACATTCATAATCAATACATCTCAGCAAACATTCTCATTGTAGTCAGCAAAGGAGATATATATGAAGCTTCGTTCCTTTACCTCCAAGGTAGTGGTGTTGACCCAAGCTACCTTATAGGAGTTGGGGTGATGAACGACAGACAGGCCAAGTTTAGACACCATGCCGGACGAGACAGCATTGATGCAACTGCCACTATCCATGACTTTACAGTTCTTATCTTGATTTTGGTGTATGTATGAAAGATCGTAGTCCTACGTCAGTCATTAATGGCAACGGGTTGTGACAGTGCACATCTCACCACGCATGTGGGAGAAGAGTCAATTCTTTTACTGTATTGGATGACAGCAGGTTGTCATCCTCCTCAAAGAATTTACCCTCGTTGTCTACTTGGTGAATTTTGTTGACTTCAAGCTCAAATTTCACCTCGGTGACTTCTTTGATAATCGTGACTTTGTTGGAACTAGAGTACTGAGAGGCGATATGCCCATACCCCTAACATCTAAAGCACTTGGTCCCAAGGTTGCACCGAGGGGTATCTGGAGTGGGAGGCTTACTTCTAACATCAGGACGGGGGATGGGGGGACAAGACGAGGGTCGGGTAGTGCTTCCATGGATCGGCTAGGCAGTGGGGATATGAGGGGTGGTAATACCAGAAGATCTGTAGGAAGGCCTAGAGTTTTTGTGTCAATTAGGGTGTTGGGAACGGTTTTCCTCTAGGTCTAACACTAAACTGTAGACATTTTCAAGGGTAGTGATGTTCCGGACGAACAACTCATTGTGAATATCCTCTCACAACCCGATACGAAACATGGACAGGATATGCGTTGGGGCAATGGATGTCTCCCCTTTGTAGCAAATCAGGTAATTGTCAAAAGATGTCATGTACTCCTTAACGGGTTTCTTGTCCTGATTTAACCTATTCCACCTATACAACAACCTGGGGAAGTACGAGGGAGGCAGGTAATTCTGCTTAAGCTCACATTTCATGGATAGCCAATCAGTGATGGGTTACTCATTTGTGGGCTCTCCAAGGCTTTCTAAATTGGACCAGAATTGACTCGCCCTAAAGAAACTATCCATCCCTTTGATCTAATCTAGGAAAAGTTTGGGATCTAAGGTTATGTCGAAGGTAGGAGCGTCAACCTTGATATTTTTCATTAGTGGAATACTAGGGTCGAGGTGGCGATCAAGTCCATAGTGGGGAGCTCGATGATGGCATGAGGAAGTCCCTCATCTTGGAAGGTGTCGTCCCTGTACATGGATGGAGGTCTAGAAGGTGTATAAAGGGGAGAATGGTTCCTAATTCTATCTAGGGTATCGAATCATTCAGTCGTTTGACGATGGAGGTCTGCTAAGTTAGCCTAATTTTTCTTGAGTTGTTGGCTAATGTTATTTATTTGACCTACCAATAAGTCTAAAGTCCTACCGAGTTATTCTGGGTCCATTAAGAGACACTATAAATTACTAAGGGTTGTAAGGGTTGGATGGACAACACCTAAATCTATATGGAATGCTCCTAAAGGCTTACTAATATATGCAAAATATGATGGACAACAAACACACAATGTGTTAAATGACAAAAATGCAATGTTAGAACAATTAGCAAAGCATAAAGATTATAAAGAAAACTCTGTGATGGATCCTAGTATATTTATTAAGAGTAAAATATGCTCTGATACCAGATGATGCAGGACATATATGAAAAAAAAGGTGATTTAGATAAGGATTTTGCATGCTTGATGATTAAGAGCAAGTTAACTAAGCTTTATGGTGAGTTAAACAATGAAGTAAAACATAAAGAGCGGTAAACACAAGCTTAGGTCAAGTTACTTGCAAAAAGTAAAACCACATAATAATCAATTACTCCTGACGTTGCATGCAAAATAGGTTTCAAAAAGAAATCCATAATATAACAAATAAGAGTAGTGCTATGAAATATCTCTCACACAATTCCTACTAAATACTAGGCTTTAGCGAGAAGAATTAACACAACTTTTGATGATTCAATTAGAACTACAATTGAGAGCAACTAAAAGATAAAAGAATAAGAGGAGGGTTCACCCAAATAAACAGGATAAATACAGCCCTGGTGCTGTGTTTAGGTGCTTGATTGGAAGTAGAAAACAACCTCGATTCTTCTCAATATTGTTGGACAGCAATATGAACTTTAAGGCCAGTGAAACAGCAATAGGAGATTGCAACGATTGATGGACACAAGCTTTGACACTTGGGAAATTCTGGATAACACCCTATAGTGATTGTATAAACCTTTGGCAGCTGTTATGGGCTCCTGGAAGCTTTTGGACAGCACTTTCAAACCTACAATAGTGCAGAACAGCAAGGGGCTGGTGCTGAATCCTTTGGACAACAGTTATAACAGCAAGGACAACCACTTTGACTTGGGGAGAGTTTAGTCTAGATTTTGAGGGAATTGGATTTAAGGTTTGTGAGAGGATCTTGGAGGAAAAAGTTGAGATCAATTTCCAAATTGAAATTTCTTGATTTGGAAATAAATTTAAGTAGGTTATGGGATGAAGGAGGGGGCGGGTAGGCTAGGGCTGGGTTTGGAAGTATTTCCAAAGTGAGGGGTTGATTTTATGGGAAAGAAATAATTAGGTGGGCAAGGGAGAGTGTTTGGCCAAGAGAGAGGGAGGGGTGTGTGTGTCTATATTCAATATATTTGGAGTTAAGGCATTAATTACTCAATTAATTTAGATTTGGATTAAATGATTTATTAAATGGCCTTTCCAAAAATGGGATTAATGATATAGGAAGGATTTGAGATTTAAATTTGAATTATTTCAAATTCCAACTCCTTCCAAAGATAGATGAAGTTAAATAAGGAAATTGGAGCTTTAGGAAATAATTTTGAACAGGGGGATATGTAGATCGACGGCTTGATGGGAGGGAGGAGGAAGGTCAGTGGACTTCATATGGTGGTGGGGGGCGTCGGCTGGTAAGGGAAGGGACGATGATGGGGTGGTCGGCGGTTCAAGGGGTTCGGGTAGGGAGTTGGACCGTGGGGAGGGGGGGAGATGAGGGTGGAGCTAGCCGTCGGTGAGGGTGAGACTAAGGAGGCCGGTGGCAAGGTTGAGTGTGGCTACGGAATCTGGCAGCTAGGAGCAAGGGGATTGGATTGATATGTATGTAGCTTAATGGAGGAGGAATGAAAAAAAAAAAACCGAAAGAAGGGTAAGGAAGAAGAACCACGAACCCGGCCATCTCCAAGGCTGGTGGTTGATCCGATTTCCCTCTCCTCTCCTAAGGATTTCTCCAAGAGTCACAAACTCTCACATCAAGAGAACAATACGCAGAAATTTTTCATAATATTCATTCATCATCCAAAATACAAAAGAACTAGCTCACAAATTAGCCTCATGAAAAGAAAAAAAGTAATGACTAAAATGCCCTTCGGGCTACCACATGACCACCCCTAAGGGTAAAATGAGAAAAACAGAAATATAAAATAAACTAGTACATAAAATACATTAAAAAAAAACTCCAGATCGTAGCCGTTGATCTCTGATATCCTCATCAAGCCCCCTTCAGCATTTGAGTTTTTCTTTTCTTTTCCTCTGCTTCATCTATTCCAATTGATCTACTGTTCCTATTCAATGGACCAATCTGCAACTTCTTTGATGAATCCTACAACAACTGCTGCTGCCATGAAGGAGCTTGCCATTTCTCCCACAACTCTAAGTTCTTGATATCAAATATCAAGAACACTGTACCGATTCAATTAGCCAGCGAAAATTATCGCATTAGGTCGGCATAAATTCTGAAACTGAGGATCTACCTCCTTCAAGGGTATTGGACGTACTGCCACTTTTTTCGGATCTGAAGCAAGTGGCAATTCAAACAAGTGAGACCAGTCTACGTTTTCTATCATTGTTTGTCAAATCTGCTGCAAAGTAGATCATCTTGCTTCTCACTGCTGGCATAGGACAAGCCTGTCTTGATGCCTGCTTCCAAGGCTTCTCAAGCTCTCTTTGCTGCTCTAGCTCCACCCAATGATGACTGGTATTTAAATTTTGATGCTACAGCGCACCTTACAACCTATCATCAACATCTACTTTCTTCCACTTCATATCAAGGTAGTGATCAAGTTCCTGTTGGAAATGGGCAAGTTAGTCCTATTACTCACACTGGTGATGATATTCTTCATACTCCCAAGAGTAAGTTACTCCTTTCAAATCTTCTTCAATTTCCTCATATTATGCATAATCTTTTCTCTGTTGTTGACCTCTATATCTGCATCAAAATCAAAATCGATCAAACATGATGAAAATGGTGGAAGGTGAAGTCAAAGTCATACAAAATCATTTCAAAAATGCCTCACAGCAGTTGAAGTTACTTAAACATTAATTATTTAGCAAAACAGATTGTATTGACGTGCTCAAAACATCCACAATAGTTAGAAAAGAAAAGACGGGGAGTATAGGGCGCTCACAATAGCTGCCATGGATATCATTTGGCTCTGACAACTTACCGAGTTTTATATTCATATGGGCGAACCCACCACATTCCATTGCCATAATATTTCAATCATGGCACTTGCAAATAGTCCCGTTTTCAAGCTCATACTAAATAATTGAGATTGATCATCACTTGATAAGAAAACTTATTATTCATAAAATGATTGTTGCATACCACATTTCATCTCAAGACCCATAAGCAAATATTCTAACTAAAGTTCCTCCTATCAGTCAGCACACTCTTCTACGATAAAACCATTTAGAAGTAAATTGTTCCCTTGAGAGGAGGCAATAACAATATCAGCAATCTAAGCTCACTTCGTCACTTCTCTCTTGAAAGAATCAGCATTATTCTGCTCAAACAAACGGATCAATCCCCTATGACCAAGCAAAACTAACTTTACCACACTCAAACCAAATGAGGGCGTAATGGGTATTATATACAATACTTAAAGCTACTGTTCTGATGTACCATTTGGATATAAAAGCATGTATCAAGTATCCATAGATACAACAACAACATCAATTTTTTATCTCACTTTGTGGAGTTTATTTTTCTCCATTGTGTCCTATTAAGAGTCAAATTTTCATTTAAATCTAATAAAACAATGTCATTTTCAATACGAGAAAAAAATAAAAATGGTCCATTAATTCTTTATAAATGATCAAAATAGTACACAACTACATTAGAAGGGCATTTTGGTTCATCAAGTCTTTAAAAAGGAATCAAAATAGTCTCATAATGGGATAAATGTGATTCCTTTTTTAGGAGTTGAGAAATCAAAATAATCATTTAATATAGTTGGGGACTATTTGGTCCTTCATGAAGAATCAATGGGTCATTTTGATCCTTTTCGCTTTCTTATACTTTCTAATCAAGTCTTCTTAAATTTGCATCTGCCTTTCTTGAATCTCTACTAACCAAGTCAGCGGAAAGCTGTAGATGAATGAATATGTATGATACCATTCAAGCTACGAATCTCTTCTCTATATTTTTCTTTTTGCATCCCTTCCTATTTCTAATTCAACCTTATCAACTTCCAACAAATTTATCGATGTAAATTCCAACCAAAAAAATTTATCATGGGTCAAGCCTGAGCCAGTGCTCTTTTCTTCTTCCTCCTCCTCCCATCTTTTTGCCTGACTTTCTCTCTCCCTCTTGCTGGCTCAAGATTTTGCCATCTTCTCCTCCAAGCCGCCGCACTAGCTACTGTTGTTGCTATCAACATAGCTTCCACCTTGTATTGCCACTTCCACCACGTCTAAATTCCTACAAATCACCGAGGTACTGATCTCCCAGCAATTTGTCAAATTTGTACGTTCATCCTCTCTTTAATTTTCGAGTATATAGATTAAATTATGGAGCAACTAGATCATATTTTAATATGAGAGTGAGATGATTTTACTTTATCAACATAATTTACACCAAACGGAGCTTAGACATAACCAACAAAATCTTTATCAGATGCATTTATCAAAATTGGAGTGATCGAGTTACAACATAAATAGATTACATGTTAGTGATAAGATAAGATGTCAAAGATCAGAAATACCTCAAATATATAAATAAAGAGGAGCTAGCCCATTCTTTATCCCCTAAGAGAACATTCAAGCATCTTCTTCAGAATATAAAACACTAGAACATGTTCTCAAATGCCTGCTCATCTCTTCCAAAACCAAATCAATTTCTCCTTCACAGATATTCATCTTGTCATCAACCAGAAATTCACGAACAATACCATCCACTTCTATCCAGCTACAACCTGGCCTCTTCAACAACTTCATCTCTTTCATCTTCCTTCTCATCTCAAGAGCTTCTTTCCATCTGTTAGAAGAAGCATACATGTTCCATAGAAGTACATAAACACCATCATCATCTGGCTCTCTCTCTCTGATCTTCTTACCAGCCAACTCTGCTAACTCAACATTTCCATGAATAAGAGATGCACTAAGAATTGATCTCCATATCACACAATCCACATCCATTCCCATATCTTGTATCAACAATTCTGCTTCTCTGAGAAGTCCAGCTCGACCTAGTAGGTCAATCATACAACCAAAGTGCTCAACTTGAGGCTTATAGTTATAGACAGTTCTCATGTCATCAAACATTTTTCTTCCCTCATCAACCAATCCACCATGACTGCAAGCTAAAAGAATGGCTAAAAATGTGATCTTGTTCGGGCTAATGCCTGAATTCAACATATCAGAAAAAACCTCAATAGCTCGTTTTGCACCACCATGAACTGCGAACCCAGAAATCATAGAGGTCCATGTATATACATCCTTGTTAGTTATACCATTGAAGATATACTCTGCCATTTTAAGGTTCCCACTTTTTGAATACATGTCTATAAGTGCATTATAAAGGGTGACATCAAAGCTTGTATCCAGTTTAAAAACATACCCATGGATTGTGCGACCAAGATCCAATGCCCCTACATCAGCACAAGCTGATAAAACACCGACAATCGTGATTGATGTAGGTTGGTGACCCTCCAAATTCATCTCCCGGAAGAGTTTCAAAGCTGTTATTGGTTGTTTCTGCTGCACATGAGCAGTGATCATCACTGTCCAAGAGACTGTGTCTCTGCTCAGCATTTCGTCAAATAACTTAACTGCGGAGCCCAAATCACTGCATTTGGCGTAGCCATTCAGCATGCTACTCCAAGAAACGGCGTCTCTGGTAATCATACCAGCAAAGACAGACTCAGCTGAACGAATCCTCCCGGTTTTTGAATACATGTCGATGAGGGCATTGCTTACGACACTCTCAGAGTCCAATTTATGCCGATAAATCAAAGCATGGACCTCCCTGCCGAGTTCCAGATGGCACAGCCGAGTGGATGCAGATAGGGCTCCAACAACAGCAAACCCATCAGGCTGGATACCAGAGGATATGATATTGGAGAAAACAGAAACGGCTTTATGGGGCTGATTACACTGCAAGTGGAGTGAGATGAGGCTGGTGAGGGAAACGATATCTGGTTTGAGAATTTGATCGAATACCTTGTATGCGTCAGTGGTGCGGCCAATACGGGCATAGGCGTTGAGGATTTGGCAGGTAAGAGGTTGGTGGTAGGGGTGAAGAGCTTGGAAAATAGCTTGGGCGTGGAGCTGCTGAGCATGTTTAAGGTTTCCACATTTCTTGATAAAATGTTGGAAATTCGAGCCGTTCATCAACTTCTACAAAGATGCTCTGTTGACGAGCCAATTTATATTTTAGTGGATCTTTAATTTTTGCCTTTTTGTTCTTCCCAAGGGCTCTTTTATCTGTTTTGTTTTTCTTGATGGTTCTTTGATTTATTTGTTGTTCATGTTATTTTTAAGAATATTTAAATTATGTAATATCATAAATCTTCACATTTGTTATTATGCATTTATAGCAACCATTATAACTATTAATATATTGTCAAATTATCTTAATCTATTAATAATTATCATCCTAATCACGTGCAAATGCTATAGAATTGAGATATTAGTTGTGTCGTGCAATCCAACTCATCTCAATTGATGATTAATATAACTCCATTAATAAAAAACAATAAAAAAACAAAATTAAAATCAAATTATCTTTAGATCTAAGGCTTCTTTTGGGACGGCTTTCTTAATGCTTTCAATAGTAACTTTCACGTACAAAAATTTAATAAAATCAGAAAAAAATTATGATCGAAAGCTATCACAAATAAAGCCTAAGAGGCTAAGACATTATGTTAAAACAAATATAGGGTTTCATTCACTTTCAATCCACTAAATCATCAATTATATTTGAAATACATTATAATCAACTTAAAAATAATATCAAAAGATTGTTAAATGAATTCATGAACCTACTTTAGAGCTTTTTTAGGCAACAAAAATGATTTCATCAAAATCAACTAATTAGAATAATAAATTTAGAATAAAGATTGAAAAAAGCTAAAAAAAAAAATTGGATCAATTATTGGCTTTAATCAAGTTCATATTGAAGTAAATAAACTTACTAATATGTCAAGCTTAACTTTGATGCATGTGCATTATTGAGCCATCCCCTAGAATGAATAGGGCAATTTCCAACAAACACCTAAATCTTACCAATTTGCATAACATTGTTGAATTTTGATTGATTGACCTCTTTGAAATGGTATCATTAAGACATGTAAGATGGTATGCATTCTCAGTTACTAAAATATTCACTGTAAAATTTTTTAAATAATTCTCAATATATGCTTATTCGGCCAAATTAGTCTCTTCCTTATTGGCTATCATTAGAGCTGTCAACATTTGACCCGACCCGAACCCGACTCGAAAATTTCGGATTCGGGTTGACCCGAACCCGAACTTGGTCGGGTTCGGGTTGACCCGGAAACCCGAAATCAACCCGATTTGACCAGTTTTTAATTAATTTAAGAGAGTTTTAAAGGATTTTTATGAAATAAGTAAATGATATTTTAAAAAATTATAAACAATGTTGTCCAAATTAAATTAATTTTGATTTATTTTAAACTAATTGAAGTAAATCTTACCTTAATTTGATTTAAATTTAAATAAATTGAATTAAATAAAAAAATTTAATGAAATACACCCGAAGCGGGTTGGGTTCGGGTTGACCCTGACCCGAAGCAGGTCGGGTTTGGGTTCGGAAAACCGACCCGTTTGCAAAAACGGGTCGGGTTGAACAGTGTCGTGTCAATTTCGGGTTGAACCCGAACCTGACCCGTGACCCGATTTTGACAGCCCTAACTATAATCTAGTAAGTAAATATTATCCCATTCTTTTAGAAGACAGATTATTCTGCCCCCACTCCAACTTGTCATCTACTCATATGCCTATTTAAGTAGTGTCATCTTTACCTCCAAAAGAGATTGATGTGAATGCCCTTAGTCACATCAACTACCTTCAAACTTCATAATTATTATTTTTTCCTCTTTACCTCAAATTGATATGGATATGCATTCATTTTTTTCAGTGAAGAATTACACGTGCGTTATTAAAACAATTTTTTATTTAAAAAATGAATTAATGATTTTTTGAATTTGTCTATGATAAAAAATGAGTTAAAATTTAGAAAATTTTATCTGTTTATGCCTTACAATAGATAATTATCCCTCATTTGTTATGGAGAAATATGTTAGAAAAGTCATTAAAAATAAATTACTTTTAATGAGTGATAATCTCTTAATTTATATGGACAATTTATTCAAGTCACCGTCCTCTAAAATTAATTTGAATTCAAAACAAATTTGAATCACCACGAGCTAGAGTTCACGTAGAACTCCTTGGGAAGGCATCAACAAGGCCAATAACCTACAAAGGGAATGGGTGTTCGCAATGGGACCTACTATGTGTGAAAAAAAAAAATTATTAATTTATTTTTTTACCTACTATGTGTGAAAATGAATAAGAGCTTGTGAAGTAATTGGAGAAGGTATTAATGAGAGCAACCACGTGTGAAGGAGGGGAATTATTGGCTCAGGTCACCGGACGTGTTCGGAGTCCAATGAAAATGCGCCACATCACCTCTTACTCGGTACTGAGCTCGGTACTGAGCAGTACCAAACAGTACCGAGCTCGGTACTGCTCAGTACAGAGTTCGATACTGCTCGGTACTCAGTCTTCTAATATTATCTTCCACTAGAGCTACTCCAACCTTTTCATGTATATGCTCATTTCGCATCCTATCTCTAAGGGTCAAGCCACTCATCCACCTAAGCATCCTCATCTCTGCAATACATAACTTAGTATTATGCTTCTCTTTTAATGGGTAACATTCGGCACCATAAAGCATTGCATGTCTCACCACCATCTTATAGAATTTTCCCTTAAGTTTGAGGGAGACTTTTCTATCGCACAATAAGCCCGATGCATTCCTCCACTTCAACCATCCAACTTGAATTATGGTGATAATATCCCCATCAATTTCACCATCACTCTGAACAATAGATTCAAGATATCTAAAACGTGTACTCTTATTAATGGCTTGATCGCCCAAAGTGACAATCCCATCACTAGGTCTATTGCTACTAAAATTACACTCCATATATTCAGTTTTAGATCTACTCAAGTGAAAACCTTTAGGCTCTAAAATTGACCTCCATAATTCGAGTTTACCTTCAACTCCCTCTCTAGTCTTATCAACAAGAATAATATCATCAGCAAAAAGCATACACCAGGGTACAAACCTAATACCCTAATGAAATTATTTCAATTAGACTGAACTCTACAATTTTTTTTCTTGTTTCGATTGTGCATGATACCTTCTTAATTATAAACTCTCAATTATCATAAATGATCTAGTAAGCAATAGCCTATATTTAATTATTTATAAGTATATGATTTTATGATATACAAATATGTAAATATTTGACAGAGATGCAAAGACAATAATATGCAAAAAGATTAATGATAACTTTGAATGTTAGTATGATCTTGTTCTAAGTGCACATATTTAATAGAATATTTATTTTTAATAAAATGATCGGGCCATAGAGCTATTATTAATTGGACAAAGAATGTCAATACTGGCCCACTAGAATAAATGAGCAGAACAGGCCGTTGTGGTTAGGTTTGTTGCCACGTTAGCCCGCCATTAAGCGGACATCAAATTTCTTTTTGATTTATTTCTTTATTTTTATATTGAAGTCACCGTCCTCTAAAATCAATTTGAATTCAAAACTAATTTGAATCACCACGAACTAGAGTTCACGTAGAACTCCTTGGGAAGGCATCAACAAGGCCAATAACCTACAAAGGGAATGGGTGTTCACAATGGGACCTACTATGTGTGAAAAAAAAAATTATTTATTTATTTTTTTACCTACTATGTGTGAAAATGAATAAGAGCTTGTGAAGTAATTGGAGAAAGTATTGATGAGAGCAACCATGTGTGAAGGAGAGAGGAGTTGGTGAAGTTATTAGGTGAGGCATCAATGAGAGTGGTTACTTGTGAAGGAGAGAGGAGTTTATAACATGATTGTTAGGGAAGGCATCGGTGGGAGAGGTTGCTTGGGAAGGTGAGAGGAGTTCACAATGGAGTCATTAGAGAATGCCTTGAACAAATCAGTTGTGTGTGAAATAGAAGATGAGATTGTGTTGAGAATACACAAAGGGAAAGCTTAATAGAGATCAAAAACGTGTGAAGGAAAAGAGTTTGATGATGGAACTACGGCCTCGAACATTGTGCAAATGCTTTGAAATAACCACAATGGCAATTCAAACAAATAGTGAAAAAAACATGAACAAATCAATGACTAATAACAAACTCGAAGTTTTATTTAAATAATGTTCCAATTTAACTTTTATTCAAACCAGGTTCGAACATTTGTTCTAATTTGGTCTTAATGATGATGAATCAAATAAAAGGTCAAATCAAGTTCAAATTCAAATTAGTTCAAAAAAGTTTTAAGGGCTTTGAATTTTCCTTCATTAGAAGTCCAAAAAATAAGAGGTTATCCTCATTGAGTATAATGCAGCCCTAAATCAACTTTTAAGCATATTTTCCAAGAACATAAATAGCAGCGATGCTTAATTATGTGTAGTATCCACAACACATGAAGTAAAATTTTCAAAATTAAATTATGAATTTAGTAATTTAGTAAAATTATTAGTTTTGTAAGAGGAATTTGACTCAAAATATAAATAAGTGATCAAATATCTTCATTGTTTATTTTCTTAGAGAAATATACCTGAAAATTCATTTTCAATGAAATAAACCCTAATAAGGAATATCTTCTTATATTTATGAACTTCTCAATGAATTATAAGGCAATCAAAACCAATTAGAATCAATTCAAACTTGAATTGTGTTTGAATCTTAATACATCTCAAGAATTTTTACCTAACTGTCATGAATGTCATTGCACTATTTTTATTGAAATCTTTTGGATAATATTCATATTTGTCCAACCTCTTATTTCAACAAACTTATTGTCAATTTGAGCATCTTGGCATGACAAATCAAAAGACACCAACAAGTGATCCTAACGAGACAAATGAGCCTAAATCAAGTACTTGAAATAAATTTAGAAAATTTTAAAGTATTGATTGAAAGATTAGATGATATCCAAAGTTTGCATACATATAATCAAGACAAATCCAACAAGCTCAAAATCACTCGATTATGATATCATTAAAAAAACTTTAAAAAATGAATAAATTTTCTAAGATCAAATAATTTGATATGAGTCGTCTGATGGAGCATTTGATAAATTTGGCTAATTAGCAAAATACCCATTCTTAACGTACTATAAATAGATTTCAATATCCATATTAAAGGGACGAGGACTTGAGTTTGGAGAGAGATTGAAGAACTAAAAGAACTCTAGAGCTTTACTTCATATTCGAAGAAGAAGACGATCACCACTAACCATTGCCATCATTCGACTACTATCATCTGATTGTTATCGTTAGACCAATATCATCTGACCATTATTGTTAGAATAATATCGCCTGATCATTATTGTTCGACCATTGTCATCCATCCTTCCGCTTCTCACAATCATAACTATAATTATAAAATACCACGCAAGTGCTCTCATTTTTTTAATCTTTCCTTCCTCAATTATGTAAAAGAGCATGTTTTTTTTAACTACAAATATATAGTTTATGATTTTATTCGGCAAGGTACTATAATTTTTTCTCTTTATGAGCTTTTTACATAAAAAAAAATTGTTAACTATTTCATTGTTTTTATTTGTGAGTGTAATGGATATCTTTGTGCAAAACTATGATTGTTGCTCCCAATGACATTTGAAGAAGAAGAGGTGTTTGCATGAAATCAGCAACACTAATAGTGTTTGAAGGAGAAGTTTTTGCACAACATCTATAACACAAATGACAGTCAAAGGAGAAGTATTCATTTGGTAGCTCGCTAAGATAGTAATTGACAAAATCGATGACAATGAAAGAAGAGATGAGGAGATCTCAATGACGGAAGCAAACGAAGGCATGGCGACAATCGAAGCAGAAATCCAATTCATATGAGATATTAGGGAGGGTAGCAATCGTCGTTGTTGATGGCTTTTAAAGGAAAATAGTCGTTCACGTGAACTGCCGACGAAGCATTAAAAAATAGATTTCAATATCCATATTAAAGGGACGAGGACTTGAGTTTGGAGAGAGATTGAAGATCTAAAAGAACTCTAGAGCTTTACTTCATATTCGAAGAAGAACCATTGCCATCATTCGACTACTATCATCTGATTGTTATCGTTAGACTAATATCATCTGACCATTATTGTTAGAATAGTATCGTCTGATCATTATTATTCGACCATTGTCTTCCATCATTCCGCTACTTTTCTCACAATCATATTTATAATTACAAAATACCACGTAAGTGCTCTCATTTTTTTAATCTTTCCTTCCTCAATTATGTAAAATAGCATATTTCTTTAACTACAAATATATAGTTTATGACTTAAATTAACCAAGATCTTAATCATTTGATGAAGAAAATAAAATAAATTAGGAAGCGATGTCCTGTCTGCTAGGGTTTTCCTTTGTGTACCCTAGCCGCCGTCTGCTTTCTCGCCGGTGAGATTGCGTTTCCATGGCAAATAAATGTTTGGATCCTGGTTTTATTGAAGGTAAGAACTCTAAATCCTTCAAGGATGTGCTCTCTGGTTCGGTTTCGGCTGTTTTCCCGGATTGTCGTGTGTCTACCATTCGTGGCATGCCGGCGTTATGGTTTTCAGAAGATGAGTTTTTCCATCTTGCTAAACCTTTCGAGTTTGCTTTAGTTGGTAAGTTTCCGTTGAAATGTCCGGTGTTGGATTCCATTCGGAAATTTTTTTCAACCTTAAACTTTCGGGTGATTTTTCAGTCACCTTGTTAGATCAAACAAATGTGCTGATTAAGCTTGGTGACGATTTAGATTATGGTAGGATTTTTGCTCACCATTCCTATTTTGTTGCTGGTTGTTTCATGAAAATCATCAAATGGTCGCCTCTCCTCGACCTGTCAAAGGAGTCGTCGATCGTCCCGGTGTGGGTTTCATTTCCGGGTTTACGTCCACACCTGTTTTCTCCCAAAATTTTATTTGGTTTGGGATCGATTTTTGGCCGGCCGATTCAAACTGATAACGCGACGGTGGTGGGTTCGCGTCCCTCTGTCGCTCGTTTGCTGGTTGAAATCGATATCTCTAAATCTCATCCGGATTCGGTGTGGTTACGTCCGGAGAAGTGTGGGTATGTTCAAAAGGTGATTTTTGAAGATGTGCCTAGCTTTTGTCAGCATTGTAAGGTTGTTGGCCACAAAAAATCTGAATGCTCTAAATTATTTCCTCATTTAAGAACACATGTGAATTCGGTTCTTCCTCCGGTGGATGTCGGGTTAAATCTAGATATTAATCCTCCTGAAACTGTTTTATCTCCATCCCCTAATCTTCTTTCTAATCCTCTTAATGTTGCTGCTACGGAAAAGGGTGAGGTTTCTTTGAAACCTGGTGTTGGATGTGCTGAGGAGTCTATTGCTCCATCCACTGATTCCCCTATTTTGCTGGATGTTCCAATCGGGTTGGGGGTTGATGCCTTACCTGATATTGGTGTTGGTGTTGTCTCGAGCCCTGGGTGTGCTCTGGTTGAGCCTATTGTTCTGTCTGGTGATTTAAATTTACCTGTTGTGGATGTTAATAATGCTATGTATGTGCCACTGGAGAATTTAAGTGAAGTTTCTAAAAGCTCGAATCAGTTCGTCAATGTTCTAGTGCATGCGGTTGAAACGATCAATGTGGTGAATTATTTGAGTTGTGATAGGTCGGATCAAAGGGATTGGCTAAATGGTTCTTCTGATGGTGATTTCGTTTCTGACCAGTCGGATTTTGGTTTCATGTCTTCGGATTTTTGCGGGGGCTCTGACCCAGGGAATGATTTTTCTTTGGTTCGTGTTAATGTTCGTCATTCGAAGGTGTCTCGTGGTAGGGGCCATGGGCCGTGTCAGGGGCCGTCGAAGGCGTTGATGACTTGTTGTTTTGTGTTACTATTGCTATGTTCTTCGGTTTATGGCTTTCGATGTCCTCGACGATTTTTCCATTTTGTTCTGGGGCTATGATGTGGCCGGGGATCGTGCCCTATCTTTTTGCTGTCGGGAGCCT